AGGTCTGTTCAAAGGTGAAATGCAGGCGGTTGTTTTGTAGAGATATAGGAACCCATGACTGATTTGAGTTGGAAAAAAATCACCAAATTCCAAAATGTTGACTCCTGCAAATGGAAGAGGAGATCCATAATATCTAATAGTCTTAGACGAATTTGCCTTAACACCTTGTAGCTAACCATACTTATTCCATCAGTGATTACTGTAGATTGACTATAAATTGCGTAACTGTTGTAGACGCTCTAGGCTAAGGCTAGTGTAATCATTAGTCTTTTGATTTTGTGAGTCACTGGCAAGTAAAATGCCCCGTGAAGAGTGTCTTCCCAAATATTAAATGCAGCAACACCTGTAGGTGCTGTCTTGATAACTGAAATGTTAATTTCATAAGGTGCTCTTGGAAGGTAGTCATTTATCACAGATTTAGGGAAAGATTTTCCTGTTCCACCCGCACCCGTAAGGAGAAGAAACAATGGTTTTGGCTTTTCTGTTGATTGTCCTTGATCATACAGACGTTTATGGTGGAAATGGGAGACTATGAGATCGAAAGCTTTGTGTTGCTCATCATTTAACTGCGACATTGCTTTGTTAAACTGGCTGTTATTCATAGTGTACAGACTTAGTGTTTTCCACTGAAGTCATTATCAGATCTTCCTCTGAATATCAGCATCAACTGTACTGTCATTTGCGGTTATCATTAGTTTTTGCCAAGGTTCCATAAATTTTTCTGCCTTTGTTGATTATTAAAACTACATATTAAGTGGGAGTATGACAGTGATAATTTTTCTACAGTCATAGTACCACTATGGATTTCATATCTTTAGGTTCAGTTTGGGTCGGGTGTGACAGTTGATGGAGTGCTATTGGAAGAAACTCTTGAAGACCCTAATGGTAAATGTATGCTATTTCATTTGATTTCGTAAAAGTAGAGATAACAAAACTGCAGAAAAATTAGGTTTTAGACCAACCTTTTTAAAATATAAACGAGGTTTTTAAGCATTAGTAACATATTAAATTATTTTGTTTATCTCAGAGTGTCGTGTTAAAGTGTGATAATTGTATTTTTATCTGTCACACTGCATGCAAACAAAAATATCAAACCTGAGTAATTCACTAGTGTCTCTGCCCAAATTAGGAAAGGATACAAGAAATGTTTTGAAGTATATATGATTAACTGAGTACGAATTCTTTTTTACAGACGAGACAAACCACAAACCCAATGGGAAATAAGAAGAAGAAGAAGAAAAATAAAAAAGGTAAAAAGTAAGGGAAATAACCAGGTTGATAAGCCAATCGAAAAAAGCGTCTGCCCTGGAGATGGAGAATGAATTAACTTTTATTAAATTTGATTTTTACTTAATTTATGTCTGGTCGTGTGATTGGTTTTCTTACTCCAATCAGATGTACCTTATTTTGTGACTAGCAAAATTTAATGAATGTAAAGTAAAAACCCGAAACAAATCAATATTCTAGGTGTGAGTTTTCATATTCTTGAACTGATTTAGTCGCTGAGGACTGTGTGTATTATTTGAAGTTTATGTGTTAGGTTTACTTAAAAACCATGTTAATAGGAGAACACTATTAAATTTCTAAAGTAAGCCTTAAGCGCTTCAGTTTGGGAAAATTCCCTTTCCATTGGTGTACAATTTTCTTTTGGGGGGGGGGGGTGATATTGTGTTTATGTTTATAAAGTTTATTATTAACTGTATTATATTGACTCCTCATCCATAGTAAATAACTTGCTAAATGCTTTATTGCCACTGTTAATGTTGAATAATCTAAAATGTCTGTTCATATGTAGAACTTTGTGATCAGGGATTGCGTGTTTCAAACAATGAGAATAGTTTAATTTTGAGCTACCGATTTTGTTAGGTAGGTTTTTTTCTATACAAGTGTTTGTACCAGGTTTCTGAAATTAAAACACTCATTTTTAATCCTTTTACATAGCACGAATACAGGGATATACATTGAATTTTGTATATATATTTTTCTAAATTTATTCAAAGTGTTATGAAGTTTATTAAGAAAGTGGGGACAGCCATTGAGAACTTGAAATAAAAAACTCAGTGTCATGCCATGTTATGAAGTACTTTTGTTGGGAGGTGGCAAAGGTTTTGTCAAATAATTATGGAAACAAACCGGTCATAACATTTCGTCTCCTCTTAGACAAATAATGTTCTGTTACTGCTACTGGACGGATTCAAGTAGTGTGCTACTCTCTCTATATTTTTGTTGTATAATTTTGTTTACATCAACACTTTTAAGGAAAAAAGTAAACACATTGACACGGATGTGACAACAAAATAAAAGCTATCGATCAAAGGAGTTTCCTAACTGTTAGTGTCATACAATATGCCACAGCAACAGGAGATAAAAACTACTTTGAAACAGGAGTATACTATTTTGAAGACTGTTTCCATTGCATACAATAAATTCTTATTTTCATAATTTTTAAACATGAAGCGATATCTCTCTTACAAACAAGTCTAGACAGGGAATGGGTCTACGACATTGAAGCCTGAGGGAAATGATCGATCTGCAAGACATTGTACATCGTAAAGTTATCCAGTCAGGGTTAGACTGTATTGCAGACTAACCAATTAGTGGGGATCCCCCCCCCATCTCACCAAACCAAATGAGCGATTCTGCTCAAAAGGTCAATTTTGTTAAAAAGACAATTCCCACCAATATTCTTCTAGGGCGACTCTCTCTTGGTTAACAAGATGTGGTTATTTTATTGAGGTAAATGAGTTGGTGTTACCATATGGAAGCGGGCATAAGCAGTGTATTTTTTTCTTTTAGAAAGGCTCGGGCACCACAATAACCTCTTACTAACCGAAAGGAAGGCCTAACTGGGTATTATCATGTGACCCGTACAGCCCCGCGCGTTATTTCGTAAATTAAAAAAGAAATTTGTATTAGGGCCATAAGTGTCAACGTGAGAGGGCTGGAAAAAGGGGTCGTACACTAGAAATATGTATGCCTCACAAAATCGTTGTCATTTCAAATTAATGACAAACAATTTAGAATTTTAAAACGTTTTATTTCTTTGGTAAAATTTAATATTCTGAAAGAAAATTTTGCTATCTTGGCGAAATTTCTGACGCAGAACTACTTCAGTTGCCAAGCTACTCCGAAAGTACAGGTATTGACCTCCTACTTATTCCTCCTAAACGAAGAGCAAAAATGGTCATATGATGAAATACTTATTGACTGAGCAAGGTCGGGCAGGATGGGAAAAGATTTAACTCTCGAGCCAATATTCCCTAGAATAGCTAGGTAAATAAATAGTTTATGACATGGCATTTGGACCATGCTTGTTTTGAATTTCTTGCTCGTTGTTAAATTTTTAATAAGTGTCAAAAGACGCGCCAAACTATGATTCTGCATTCACCAAAAAAAAACCAAACAAACAATTAACATGAAGCACGAGGTACTCCTGTCAATTTCGATTGGTTGTGTCCTGCCAAGGGCCTAAGTTCTGGTCTACGAAAATTGATATTCTATTAAGAAAATATATGTATAGTTGACAAGGAAACAGAAGTCACTAGATGTAGTGTTGAACATGTTATAAGCCAAGCTATGCTTTTAAAGCTGCAAAGTCAAAAATGTCACTGAAAAAAGGTGACTTCGACATTCTAGCTGTTATGGTTGAGAGTTACTATAAAGTATACTAAGAGTTCTTCTGACGCCTCCTACGGCACAAAATCTTCTGCTTTACCACACCTCACACTTCCTCACAGGGTTCATGGTACTATTGGTAGGACAATTAAACGCTTCAGAGAACTCCCTGAAATTAGAGAGAGTTCCAATAACCCTGCAGTAAAGAAAAGAAAATCGTTTAAGCCTCCAGAAGAGAACGTCATTCTTTGTAGTTCCTTGTCAAATTTACAGTCGAACCTCTCACTACGGACACCTCCCTAATACAGACAGTTTCCAAAGTCTCAACAAAGTTACCAGAACATTTTCTTTAAAAAAAGGTGGCCTCTGTAAGATAAGGACCTTCTGTACCGCGGACTACAGACGCACACCCTTAGTCAAAGAGGAAAATTTGGGAAAACCTAACCTTATCATTACGGACACTGTTGATCAGGCTATAATAGTTAGAGTACATGTTCTTTAACAACTTTATTTGGCTCATATAAAACTAATACAGTAAAACAATGTATATGATAAATCGAATGCAAAAGATACAGCAAAAACAATTACTGAGGGAGCAGCAGACTAGTGTGAACAGGACACAACGAACCATGCGGGGCACCTTTTGTGGGATAAAAAAACCATAGAATCATAAACATGATAAATATTATTTAGGAGAAAAGAAACTAGAAACTGCTGGTGACAGGGGCAGGATTGCACAATTGTCCAAGTATAGGAATGATTTACATCCAAGCAATTCTGATGAAGACGAGGCCCGTGCTGACAAAAAAAAATTCTGGAATGACACTTTAGTTGAAAAATTGATAGAAAGTGATAATCTTCAGATGCAATTCCAAAGTTTTACAATGAGGTTGAAGTAAAAGGCCTGGAAAGAACCTGTTTTTCGTATAGGTGTTTTAGGATTTTAAGAAGTACTTGGTCTGGCTCGGCCGTGGGAAACAAAGGAAACAAATTTATGAACTTTGAGATTGGTAAACCATTCAGACATGAACGAGGTCTTTGAGTTCTTGGTCATAGAATGGAGGAAGAAGTTATAGAGCCAAAATTCTGTCCCTGTATGACATCTCGCTAACGCGATTTTTGAGGATCCAGCATGTGGCCCTCTTCCACCCTTTTAACTTGAGTTTTAAGTGATATTTGATTTGGGGACCAAAGTGCAGTATTATAGGACAACTGCGACTTCACAAGTGTCAGATAGCATTAGTGCCTTAACTGGCACATCAGTTAACACCAGGCAGCCCAGCAGACAAGCCCCAGCAGCCTGTTGGCCTTAGCGATGATGGCGTGAATATGTATGGCACAGATTCATGGGCAGTCCATCACAGGCGATGTTGACTGAGAAACAGTTAAGTGCTGCAGGAGCGTTGAAGCACTACAAGTCCAGCATGTGAGCGGCACAATCTACTGCAACGGTTGCATTTAAGACCATCAGTTGTCGGTGCGTGCCTCCTGTTGTGAGCTGCTTGATATTTCTTGAGGCGATTCTGCTCGACAGCGGCAATGCTTTTATGGACCATTGATTGCCACTTCTTTCTGTCCATTGCATCTTCCTCCCAAGTTTGGGTGTTGATGTCCACATTCTTCATGTGTCTCTTTAATACACCTTTGAAGCACAGTTTTTGTCCACCGCGTTTTCTCCTTCCAGAGCCGAACTCTCCACAAAACACATATTTGGGGAATCTGTTGTCAGACATACAACACATATGACCGGCCCAATGCCCAATGCCCCTATGATGAAGTGACGACTGCCTCCACACTAACTGTATTGGCTCAGTTTAAGACTTCAACATCTGGTACTTTGTCTTGCCAGCGAATACCTAGTATCCGGCAAAGATGGTGTTGTTGAGTTCTGGTGATTTTCCTGATGTGCCTACTGTAAAGGATCATGCATTCAGTGAAAATTTTTCACTTTTTGCAAGGCTGATTCATTCAAAATGATGTCATTGCATGTACGTGGTTTTTTTGGAGGGGGTTGATAGAGCAGCTCTGTTTTAGACACATTTCTTTTCATGACAAAGTGACAAGCGGCACAGGAGAGACTCTGCAATTTCTTGGATCACATCAGGATCTGTTGAAACAAGGGCAGTATAATCAGCAAAGAGTAATTCCCTTATACAGATTTCCCTTGTTTTAGTGGAGGCTCTGCGTCTAGCAAGGTTGAAAAGTTTACCATCTGTTCTTGTCGTGATGAACACTCCTTAATTGAGGTTGGTACACATTGTTTCTAGGACAGCCACAAGATAGAGAGAAAAGAGGGTTGGTGCCAGTACACAACCCTGCTTGACACTGTGATTGATAGTAAAGGGTTCCCTTGTGTCTCCAGCGATCCTAACAGCACCTGTCATTCCCTCATGGAAGAGCTTGATGGTCTGCACCACATTCTAAGGACAACCATACAGCTTCAGAACCTTCCATAGTATCTCCCGATCAACCGTGTCGAAGGCCTTGGAAAAGTCAACAAAATTCATATGCTGGGGCTGATTTTGTTCAATTGCTTTTTCCTTGTAGCTGTCGTAATGTGAATATGATATCGATCTGCCCTGAAGCCACACTGGGTTTCTGGTAAAACTTCCTCTGCGATTTTCTTGATACGATTTAAGATGATTTTTGCTAGGATTTTGCCAGCTATTGAAAGCAACGAAATGCCTTGACCATTTATTTTTGTTGATAGTAATTATGACCGCATCCTTGGAGTCCTGAGGGATGCACTCATTTTACCAGCATGCATTAAATAATTCAAGCAGTTTTTTTCTAAGCCGTAGTCCTCCATGTTTCCACAACTCAGCGGGAATACCATCTTGACTCGGGTCCTTGCCTCCTCTGGTGCTTTTTGGTGCCTTCACCAATTCATCATCTGTGATGGGATCTGATAGTTCCTCCCTGGTCTCTCTTTGTTGTATCTTGTGGCAAGCACTCTGATCTGCTGCTCCCCGTTGGTTTAGGAGATTACAAAAGTTCTCTTTCCACCTGACCTTAATATCTTCTAAATTTGTGTAGAGTTGACACCCAACAGCACTCAGCACAGGACCAACAACATTTGTCTTTGGCTCATAAATGGCTTTTAACCCATTGTAAAGTCCGCAAAGGTCATGCTTGTCAGCCATATCTTAGCGCTCCTTTGCTTTGACATTCTACCATTTGTCTTTCATGGCTTTGATTTCTCTCTGCACTTTAGCTTTGACTTTTCTTAAGGCTGTCTTGGTGTTGTCAGTGTTTTCTTTCAAGTGGTTGCAGAATATTCTTTGCTTCTCTTCCAACAAACTATGGATTTCCTGAGAGTTATCTTGAAACCAGCCTGGTGTTCTTCTTGTTGGGTGTCCAAGTATTTCCGTTGATGTAGTGTAGACTGTTTCTTTCATTATTAACCAGCTACGTTCTACATCAACTGCAGTGTCCATATTCTTGGGCCCTTTTGCTTCTAAGGTTTCTGTGATTGTTGTGGCCAAACCCTTCTGTCAGTCAATTTCTTTTAAACTTCTCACATTGATTTTCTTGAGGGAGAAATTGCTTGCCTTTTCGTTCTTGGGAATGCTAGTCTAAGTCTCACATGTGAGCGTATCATATAGTGGTCTGTTGAGCATTCAGGAGTTTTCATAGACCTCGTCTAAAGAATCTTGCTCAAAGATCTGTTGCGGGTCAAATATAATCTAACAGGTGGAGGTGGTTGGATCTTGGGTGCTTCCATGTGAAATAATTATTTTCTGGTTGGTAGAAGTAAGTATTGGTGATACACAGTGACCTTTAGCTGCAGAAACTCAGTAGGAGATCACCATTTGAGTTCTTGCGGCCTTTACCAAATTTGCCCATGACACCTTCATATGTGACGTGGTCCTTGCAAACTCTAGTGTTGAAGTCTTCAAGGCTTAGGGGCTTATCTTCCTTGGGTATCTTGTCTACAACATCCATCAGGCTTCGATAAAAAGCTTCTCTTTCTTCATTAGTGTATGTCTCCGTATATAGCATTCGTTCATTGTCTGCACTCTCATGGTCATGATCCTTTCTGACACTCCTGTTAGTAATGCAGTGAGCTTACAGGCAATCTTGTTTGAGATGACAAAAGCCACACCAGCTTCACTCCTCCTGTCTGCTCTACCACTCCAGAAGAAAGTATAGCTTACCTCTCGAGTTGCTCTTGTCCTTGCAGTTTAGTTTCTTGAGGAGCAGCATTATGGATTTGCTAACGATCCAACTTTTTTGCAATCAAAACTGTTCGCCTTTCTGGTCTAGCTTTGTTGTCAAGCTTCGTAAGAACGTTCCAAGTAGAAACTGTAAGTTTAACTTTCTTGTCTTTCCTACCGCTGAAATAAAGGCCTGCTGGCCGCGGTGTACCAGTCAGGTATCTGGGCAAGCTTTCCTTACCCTAACTTTTCTCCCAATACAGGGCAGGCTGTGCTCTCCCTAAATAGGGCAGCCTAATCACTCACATAGCTGCCTCAACTTGTTGTTGCCCAGTAAGATCAGCTAATCTGCGACCATCTGATATGAGTCGTCTATGTGTAGAAATCCTGCTAGCAGCTCCCAGCTTCTTAGCCCTGCTGCCTTCGCTTTCATTCTATCACCACAAAGTCTTTTCACCGCAACAAAACCTCTCACCATGCATAGTTAAATAAGGAATACAGTGTCGTGCCCCCGCTGACATCCTCTCTGGACCATTAAGTCTGTTACTGGTGGTGCATGAACATGCCACAAACCTAGCAGACATGAGGGTTGCCCTGCAGTGATTGCTAACTAGTCTGTTGTTACCATCCATTGATCGGAAGAGGTTCATCCACATGCCAACTATGCAATGTCCCATTGAAATTTAGGTTCATCTGCCACAGAACCCAATAACACCCTGCTGCTAGTGAAATGAGAACAGTTTTACGACTTGCCTGTGTCTGCTATTTAAGCCATAGGCTTAATACCATACGGATTTTGTGAATTGTCTTCGATCAAGAAACATATGCATGGTGAGCTTTCATGGTTAAAGACATGAAACCCCTCAAACTTTACTACCAACACTCCAATAAGTAGCTATAGAGTGTGTATTGACTCAACAAGTAAAAACGTCATTGAAAATATCATGTTTCCTTTTCGGCTGTTCTACCGCTCAAAATAAAGAAAATTGCACAAGTTAGTATTTTAGCAAAATTTTTGCCCTCACGAATTGCACGAGTTTGGTCCTGCTCAACAAAAAAAACGCAAAGAAACGCCAATCTGCATGATAGAACTCCCCTCAATTTTCGTATTGTACGGAAAATAAGTGCCGTGTCTATACCCGCTTCCCTTTGATTTAGGAAATGCTTTCAGGAGCCTGAAGCAATGACGTTATGCATATCCAGCGCAGAGGACTGATGTTAATTTTTCTGAAAATATTAATAGCTAGACTAAAGTCATTTATAAAAGTGAAAATGTTTGAAAACATGCCTAAACTTGGGTGGTGCATGAATCTCACTCAGCGTAGAAATGTACTCTGTTTTAGGTCGAGCATGGCTGCAATACTCCTGAAAATACAAACAAGCTGAATTTGAGTTAATCATAGAGGAGACCGATCAAGTGAACAATTCAGTTGCTCCAATCGCATCAAGTTTGTAGACAAGCAAGCCACAGACCTGAGCATATCCGATGAAAAACAGTTGATCGTTAGTGTAGTGCAAGCTAGGAAGTGCATACTCCTCTTCATCACCATGCTTTGTAAGCCAATCGTGATATGCCTGAAACAATCAGTACATCTAGCTTTAGAGATCATCATATGGTTTCAATATCGTGATTCAATCAGTTTGAGGTGTTTATCCACCAGGGATTATCTGATGGGAGAGTTGTAAATTTATAAAGGTCGTGTTTTCCCTCACAGATCATTATTTAGGTAATTTCCATAAGTAATACTAAGATCGAAAAGGATAACAGATCTGAACAAGCAGAAACGTAGAGAGGAAAAACCTCGTGGCTTTATGCTCAGCAGCTGCGGAACGATCTTAAATGGATTGAATCGTCTCAAAATCGACGAATTCTCAGAGCTTGTACAAGTGACGGGAAGTTAGCGATTTCATGGTTTGCCCAAGTTCGGATATTTTGTTATCTACAAAATAAGCAAAATTTTTGAAAACGCTTGACGTTTCTGAAAATACTCATGTTTCTCTCAAGAAGTTCGAACAAACTTTATGGGAAAGTTATTTGACAATTTCTAACTTTTAGGCAATTATCAGTTTATTTAAGTTTGTACCCAGCTACATGGATAAAGACGCTCTTTGTAACGAAGAATTAAGGAGAAGATTCTCGAAAGATTTCGTCCATTTTCTATCTGATTTGAAAATCACATCAAGTCCTTTTTGTTCACGTAATATTTTCATGGAACAGCTTTTATCCCTAACAGCCTCACAATTCTTCTGGCACAAGACGGATAGCCATAGTAGCTCGCGTCTGCAAAGTCGCAAATAGTTATTATTGTGAAGATCAGAAAACCTTGGCTGACCTTTGTGGTCGCTGATTGGAAACAGAAAGCAAAGGATGCAAATTTCGGACCGCGAAGGGTAGTGGCCTATTAAGAATTTCGAGCACCTGTCAATTTAGAGAGAGTTTTAGATGAAGAAGCCAAACTGTTAAATCCCATCCTATTCCATTAATCTTTTTAGTTTTCATGTTTTTAGAGCCTCACAGTTAAATCACTTTGACAAAGAAGTGTTCATTAATTTCTTCCATTGTGCAATCAAATAGTACAATTATGATCTTAATGCAACAATAGCTCTCTTAAGAACTACTGTAAGTGCACTTACAAAATATGAAAGTTTAGTTCCACCATTGTCCGCAATGTTCTCTCCAAGTGTCACTTTCCCACTGATCTGATGCGGAAACAAAAAGGTAAACGTAAGAATAGCATTTTGTTAACTCCAAGAGGAATGCAATGGACCTTCTTACCGGATATTTCCCTTGAACCTTAAATTTCGAGTACTGTTTTTCGATGCACAGAGATCTCCTGTTAAATTCGATAAGAGATTGCTTGCTCCACCATTCCTTAACGATATCTCCATTTTTATCAAATTTTCGACCTGTTGGTTCAATGAACATCCCTGATAAGAGTACATATTAAATTTATGTGTCTATACCACACTGATTGAGGTGGTAAAGTTTGGGATCAGTTTTACCAGAGGAGCTAAGGAAACATTTCACACATAAATGTAAATAATGTTCAAGAAATTTTCGACATGCAGGAACTGATACTTCATGTTGTTATCTTCATCAAGTCTAGGCTGGCAGACAGACAGACAGTCAGACAGACTAGCTGATAGAAAGATAGCCAGACATATGGGTAAGTAAGTCGGTGGACACTTGAGTAAAAAGAAATGGATTTATAGCATACAAATCGATAAGATATCAACTTCTCCTGTTTCGAAAAGAGAACTTCTTCACCGTGCACTGAGAAATTACCATTTACATTATCACACTTGAAGATAATAATGTCTCAGAGTAACTGGGTTTATCAAAATAGTGCTTTTATTTTTCCGAAATGATATCTCTTTAATTTAACGATACTATTAAGATTGATTTCAACTTTTAGTTTCTTTTTCATACTGAAATTTTCTTTCATTCTAACATCGTTCGTTAAAGTACCATTCCTACAAGCTGAGGTTATGTGCAGGTGGTTTCTGCATCCTCTTAGAATGAATGATCTCTTAGAATGAATTTTAAAATTTTCGATTTAAGTAAGTGACCAGTATCTATGTGAAACACACTTGTGCTGATGATATCTCTCACTCAATCGAATCCAAGCTTGGCCGCGTAATGTCTTCTAATTACCCTAATATATCAAAATGGTGAAAGAGATTTTTCAGTGATTTGCCCTAGTTTTTGGGCAAACATCCACTGGTATGTAAGATTGTACTTGGTGATTTTCATCCTTGCTGGCATTGAAGGTGCTTGAGGGTTACCTTAACACTCTTCATGTCGGCTCCTTAGAGTACCTCTGTATCGGACAGTTTGTTCTGTCATTCAATGTGCAATGGATCTCTGAAGAACCTCATGTTGTAAAAGTTCAGCCGCCTAGCATGTCGGCTGGCAACAATCCATTTTTCACAAGGATAAAGCAGAGAGAATAAGACAACTGCACAATACACTTAAGGCTTGGTCTCTTCTCTCCCAGACCTTGTCTCAGAGTCTGTATAAGGCTCAACTGTCCCTAGCTATCCTGTAAAAGACGTGTGCGTTTGATGTAGACAAATTTTTCCACACCATCGAGCTTTTGACCCCCCTTCTGTGATGGTTAGCTCTGTGTAGGGTGTCGCATGAGCTTGCCGGCTCATCACTTTGGTCTTCTTTGTATTTACTGTTGAGACTTCACAAGCTTTGGATAACAGGTTCACGCTTTCTGAATGTCAGATTGCTGGCATTCAATGCACAGCGTCATCAGGGAGAACGTTATGAGAAATATATTCCCGGACCTTGATTTTTGCCTTGATGGCAAGCCCTTACGACGCTTATCCTGTCTATGTTCAACCCAGAAGAACGTGAGAACATGTAACCAACCTGTAACTCAGACAGTTGACCTTCCTCTGATAGCTGAGTCTCATTGATGGTAGTAAATTCCATTAAAGGAGGTTTGAAGAAGAATGATGGTGAGATTGTGTGGTGATCATGAGTGAAGTCGCGCCTTGCGTTTAAATTCGATTGAAGTAAGGAAGAGTCGCGCAGGGTCATTAGCCTTACACTCTCTTCCCTGCCCATCTGTACTAAGTGGCGAGACAAATTAAAGACGGTTGGAGATAGGTCCAAGTGCAGCGTGTGATTAGCAGTGTTCTACATGTCTCACTATGCTCTGTTAGTGCTTCACAATGCCTTCCTGTGAAATCACCTTTCTGCCCGTGTCACCAAATGCTGGTAAGTGATTTCATCTGCACAGTCTGCCAAATCCAAGCATTAAACGCCAGCTATACAAGCCTGGAAGGGATCACTCTTTGCTGGGTCTCTGCCCTTTGACCTGCTCGGCATGGGTGGCCCTACCTAGAGTTAAAGACTCTGGGGGTCACTGAGACACCCAAAATCATCCTAGTGCGATAACGTGGCGACCCTTGTAGGACACTATGCAAGCTTCCGCTCTCCAATATTCCATTGAATAATTCTACTTACAAATTGTATTGAATGTTGTAAAGTATCATAATGCCTACATTATGTAAATGGCGACAGCCCCGAGGCCTCAACCTCAAGCAACACTCGAGCAACATTACAAAATGCTAACCTCCCTCTCACCCAGCAAAATCAACAAAAAAAAATAGGTCGGTAATCCCCGATATACTCTCTCCTTGTAGTCGTTTAGTCGCCTTTAACATAGCTGCGTGCTGTTTGCAGAGTGTGGGATAAGCAAATGCTAGGTAGAAACCAACAGTTTTCGAAATTAGATTTGAGAGAATACGATCCGGTGTGACAGTTTAGTTTTAGATGATAAAGATGAGACATACAAAGATGGTGATGATCATTATGATGATAATCAAAACAAAAGAGAGATTTAAAATGCGAATTCTACTTCCAGTTAAGTCTGTCCTTTAAGTATATTACAAAGATGCACGACAGAAAGGTTAATTCATAGCTTTTTAAATTTGGAAGTGATCTCGAGCCAATTCAGCAAGTTTCTGTCAACTTCTTGAAAAGTTTCTGTCAACTTCTTGAAAAATATCATAGGCCTTAAACTTTGAGAGAGCAACATAGTGAGATCAGTAATGTGTGGCAAATAAAGGAATGGGACAAAAATATTTCTTGTCTTTTCATGCCATTCTAGTGTTTGTTGAAATATATTCCACTGTCGTTACTGCAGATCTCACAAAATGTAACTGACAACAAAAATTTATAGACCACTAATCAATCTTAGAGAGAGTTCCACTTTTCCATTTTCATGAGCAACCAAACTGTGTTTAATATGACGAAAATGCAGATAATTGTCACAGAGAAAGAATCGACATTCTTGATGGGATGCGTGTAAGGATTTCCACAGGCCCCCTGAGATTTTTTTGAGGAGAACAAAAGAAAGTGTGCATTGTTTTGTTTGTTTGTTTGTTTGCTTGTTTTTTTGTGTACAATGATAGTAGGTGCATCAATGTCAGTACTGGTACAACTGATACTGCAATTGCTGCTACTAGTGCAACTGCCACTGAGAAACGCACGTTTGAGGTTAATGGAAACTTTAAGCCAAATTATTAATATTTTTTACTTACCGGTGTTGTCAAAACCATGGGTGAGCTCATGTCCTATGATGGACCCTAAAGCGCCATAACTTAAAGACCTGGAGATTGAAATTAAAAAGAAAATTAGTTAAAACCTCGAGAATTATCAATGCACTAGTTTATATTAGTAGCAGGCGATATTTGAAACCAAACTTAATAACTCTGCCCTAAACAATGAGTACACATAGAGTGACTTTAAAGAAGACTTAAAAGTTAGATACAAATACAAGGGCTTTAACTCGACGCCCATTTTTTTCACAAATGAGTTTTTTTTCCCTGTGGCTTACTACAGGAGTAAATTCATTCTATGTCATGAGTCACAAAATGTATTCTTTTAATTTTTTGTTGATAAGAGCCAGGTGCATTTCACAGGGTACCTTCGGAGATTTGGCTCTAGTTTGTGCTGAATGAGCTTGTCTGTTAGGAGGATGAAAAGAATGTGGTTTAAATTTGGTTATTGTCGAGGCGAAAGAATTCGACCTTAGAAATGTTTATCCGTGGTAAGACCATCCCGTAAAACCATACTGATTACTATAATGACTTGATTATCTTCATATGCGAAGATACAAATGGTATGCTGACTGTGCGCACTGATAATGTCATGTTTCCGAAATAAAAGAAATTCTGGTATCTCGTCAATATCTGTATGATAAGATATTTTACCTCTCGTAGCCTCTCATAGTTATTACCTATGCACTAAGTTTAGCTTTAAGGCTATTCAGTCTGACACTTAGGATCTCTCTTGCCTGACGACCACGATTCACAAATCATAACCATATAACTGATTCAACAAACTCTTGTGTATTGAAAAACAGGATCATGAGATCGAGATTTTATTTCGTGATATTTATTAACGGAGAGGCCTGCATAAGTGATCACTTGCAGAAATCGAGAGCAGGTCTCTACTATTCCTTCAAAACCTTACAATAAGACAGGCTATTGTTTTTGTTTTATTTTGTCTACCATCACACTCTCTCAAGCTACTTCTTTTTCTCAGTTACTGTCATGGGAAGACACAAGGTAATCCTGCCTACCAGATTGTAGAATTTGTCATAAAACGCTAATAGACTTATACTGACCCAAAATAAATTAGGAGACGTAGAAAGACATTTTTAATTTTCAGGTAGAATCGAGACACAAACAATTTTCTCCTCATCACGTCAAGGGTGTTAAGATAGCTTTAAAGTGACGCTCTCTGTACGCCTCTCATGCATCTAGGTGATTTGTTTAAGCCCTTTAAGGTTATGGCTTTTTTAAGTGCTAAAGAAGGAAATCAGTTTTAACGTTTTTAATTTATCTGAGAGTCCTCCTTCTTACCTCGGAATTTTGGCAGAGTAGAAGAAAGGAGACTGAAGTATACCAGCTGGAATCACTACAGATTAGCAGAAAATAAACAAAAATAATAAATGCATAATAACAGTTAGGGATGTTAATTAAGGGTTATCAACTGAGTTTACTACGTAAATCAGCCACCGTAAAGAGTTTAAAGGCTAAATTATTGGGTAAATAGGTGGCTAAGTAGAGACTGATAAGACGTGACGTGGAGGTGGCAATACATTTTTGGATCGGTTACTCAGCCGTGTGGCTGAGTAAAGGTAACCTGTGTCAGACAGGACAGATTGGATGGGCTATTGCAAGATAACGGTCGCTTACATGATTATCTCCACCTGGACAATCACATCATACGATCGACTGTTGCCTGTGGTTTCAACCTTCCATTATATGTACAAGACATTATAATGAGACTAGAGTCTATTCGACCCTACTTTTCTCATCCTTGAATGCACCTTAGATCAAATTATTTAATACCCAAGAATGTTAATTATACGAATCGAACCTTGCTGCCCTTTTGTGCCATTTGCTGATGACCCATCAGGAACACTGATGAAGCATTAACAACTGGGAACTTACTAACACTGATAGGGGCTATGATCATTCCTCAGATTCTGGTCAGGTCACATCCTGGCTTATATGCCAGAGAACTTACTAATTCAGCCCTCATACCGCTTAGTTTGAAGAGTCAGAGGTGTTCTTACCTATCTCATTTTCATAGAACTGATACATGGCATTTATTGTCTGTGGAAACATTGGCCATCTAAAAAGATAAAGACAAAAACTTTGCTCTTTGCAACATATCTCTCCTTTAAAATGCGCGCAGATTGGTCAATTTAGAAAGTAAGATACGTTTTTCCTCTAATATTTGCCCCTGATACTGGCTTTTTACAAGTTATTCTGCATTTTCCAAGAAGAATTTATAGATAGTTTATCAGCAAAGTTCATGTGATTATTCAGAATAATCGGTGTGTTCATTTGCGCTATTTATCTCCATTTGCATTGGCTGTGGGGTAAAGCACTGCATTCAACAATTCTAAAACATCTGCTTAATGATGATCTGCCCATTGCCTCCTTTAACCTTCCTCTTTGAAAATTTTCTAAAGCGTGTACTAACGAGGAAAGTATGACGACATGGATGTTAAAATAGGATACATCGTTTATCGCTAGCCTAATCCGAGCAAGGTCTAAACGCGGCAGGTAGCAAGATGCCTTCAAATCTTGACCAAATTTTAGTCTAGATTTACCGTATCTTATATCTCGAGGAATATCTCCTATATAGATAACATTTTGGAAGAAGCGGTGGAAAAACAAGTGGACGCAGAGGATGAAGAAGAAGGTGAATGCAGGAGTGACGGCGCGGAAGAACAGCTACAAATTGTCTAAGAGATAAAAAAAAGGCCGCTTAAAATGGTCTTGCCGTATAAAATGAAACTGGCTGAAACCGATCTAACAACAAAAAATTGTCCAAGTAGTTTAAATGGTATAACTAGACAAAATGGTCCAATCTGTTCGATTTCGTTAAAATGGTGCAACCAGTCGAAATGGTTACTGGCAGAAATAGTCTAACCAGGTTTAATGGGTCTAACAAAATGGTACAACTGTCTAAAATGTCCCGAAATGGTTTCACTACAAATATGGTCTGACTAATTAAAATAAACCAACTAGTTAAACATAAAATGGTCCACGAGTTAAAATAGTCTTACTAGCTAAATAAGTCAGACCAGTTAAATGATCTAACTAAATGAACTGATCTAACTTTGCAGAAATGGTCTTACGAAAGTGGTTTACCTAGTTAAGAGCCCTATCAGTTAAAATTGATTCACTAGATAAATGGACCAACCACTTAAAATGGTCCAAGGAGTATCATGTGGCACATTAGAGAAGTGGTCCTTGTTCTAAAAATGACCCAGCCTGTTAAAAAGGTCCAAACAACTAATAAATCCAAACGGTCAAAATGGAAAAGAACAGTTAAAAAGATCCCACCAGTTGAAATGGCCAAACCAGTTAAAATGATTCAACCAGTTTTCGAAATGGTCTACCTAAATAAAATGGACTAACCACCTGGAAAGGTCTAAACAGACAAAATGTAGTTTAACTGTTAAAAACTCTGTAACCAGATAACGTAGTTTAACTCGTTAAAATGGTCCAATTAGTTACTTCTAAATAATATGGTCCAATTGGTAGAAATATTCTAACTAGATAAAAGGTCCAACGGAAGACAACGGTTTTACTGCGTAGCTATTCCAAACTGATAGTAAATGGCTTTGTATGGAAAATGATCTAGTTGGTAGAAAAAGTCTAACTAAAGAAAATGTTCAAATAGTCAAACCAATTGACTGATCTAAATGGTACAACGACTTATAATGGTCTAACTAGAGCAGAGTTGAAACTGATTAAAATAATGCAATTTGTGAAATTGAACTAACGATATAAAATTGCTCAGCTACTGAAACTGATGTAGCTAAATGAAAAGGTTCAATCACTTCGCATGTTCTAACTAGATAAATGGGTCCAACCATTTAAAATGGTCTAGCTGTATAAAACTGTCCGACTTATTAAAATTGCCTGACTAAATGAATCGGTCCAATCAGTAGAAATAGACTAGCCAGAGAAAATTGTCTAAATACTTAAAATGGTCCAATCTACGAAACTGATCTTACTAGATATAGTGATCTAACGATTAAAATGCCCTAATTTGATAAACTGGTCCATTTGGTAGAAATAATGTAACTAGAGGAAACGGTCCAACTGATTGAAAGGGCCTAATGGGATTACTTTTTATCTTGAGATTCTTTTTATTCCCCTCTTCCATGGCAATATTGCAATTTTGTATTCAGAACTGCTCTGGTATGTACCATTTTTGCAATGATTCCGGTTCAATTTTTCTATTTTGTATAAATTTTTCTCATTCTTATATTTTTTCCTTTATATTAATGTAGTTTAATTCATCGTTTGTATGCTGTAACATTTTCCTCAATGTCAATGTATATTTAATTGACGTAGTCCTGGAGGTAATGGGTTGTATTACAAAATACAGCTGTGATTTAAATTTACAATAAAAAACTTAAATGACCTACTAGATAAAATGCTGTAACTAGAAAGAAGATGCAACAAATTAAACTCACCTAACTGATCAAAATGCTATCACTAGAAAAGTGGTTCAATGGGTTGAAATAACCCAACAAGTTAAAATGGTCCAACTAAACCAGGCAAGATGTGACTAATGTAATGGTTAAAATGTATTGGTCTAACTTTTTAAAAAGAACTAACTGGATTAACTGATCCTGCTGGATAAAATGGTCCAATAACTTAAAGTGGTCTAACTAGATAAAAAGGTCAGACTTGTTAAAATGGTTTAATTGGATTAAAATTGTCTAACTAGATAAAATGGTCCCACGGGTAGAAATTGTTTAGGTAGATCCAACAACGTGGTCCAACTGGTTAAAATAGTCCAACTACTTAAAGAGTTCAATTAATACTATTGAACCGGTTAAAATGTTCCAAGCCTTTAAAATAGCTCAACTAGCGGCAGAAATAATCTGGTCTAGCTGGGTGAAATGCTCCAATGGGTTAAACGGTCTAACCAGATGAAATGTTTCAGCTGATTAAAAGGATCTACTGTAATATTCTGGTCAAACTGAAAGAAATGGGCTGATTAGGGGAAATGGTCAAACTGGTTAGGATGGTCCGACTGGTCATAGTGGTCTGCACCGTTAAGACCAGTTAATATGGTCCAACTGTTTCCACTAGATCCAATCCAAACATGTAAGATGGTATACCTAGATAAAATGGTCCAACTGCTTAAAATGGTTTTAGTCACTAAATAAAATTTTCCAATAGGCCATTTCTGAGTTCTCGCGGTGCAGAGATCTGGTGCTGAAATTATGGTGAGAGAAAGAGGCTAAGTGCAAAGTCGCTCTGAAAGATCAAAGTCGCTCTGATGGACATAAAGGACAAAGAGCCATGTAGTGAAATGAGCGAAAATTTCGCAAAATTCAACATGTGAGAGTGAAAATTTGTTTTGGGGAGAAAGGCATCCAGTTAAGTGATGGCGGCAAAGGAAAGAAAAAAAGGAGAACGGTTCCATTTGTGCAAGAAAGCTGGAACGGTGAAGCAGAATATACTAACCTCTTCTACTAAACACCACTAAAAGCTATTGGAGGAGAAATTACAAATATGAGAAGACAAATTTCCAGACCCCAAGATTTTATATGCTTGAATTTTTAACTGCTCTTTAAATGGCCTATTGGTTAAAATGGTGTTGTTACATAACACTAGATCCATAACATACTTTATTAGGCGGAAATGTTATAGGTAGGTCCAACTGACTCAACTAAATGATGCAAATGGTGAAAAGTAAAAAGGTCAAGTCTAACTAAATAAGGAAATGGCCTGCCCAGTTAAAGTTCACAAGCTAGAAAAATAATCTTCCGGGTTAAAATGACCCAGCTAGTAAAAACTGTCCAAGTTAGTGAGATTGTTTACAGGTTAAAGACTTCTGACCTAAAAAACTGATCCATTAGTTTAAAATGATCCACCTAGAGAAAATGATCCAACTGGTAGAAATTGTGTAACAACAGAAAATGGTCTAACAGGTGGAAATGGTCCAACTACTTAAAATGTTCAAAGTGGTTAACTGGTCTAACTAAGAAAGAATCTTGCAGCTAGTAGAATGGTCTACCACGGTCCAAAAGGTCCAACAAGATAGTCCAACTGCTCAAAATAGCTTATAGGTTAACATGGTCCAATAAGATAATATGGTCTAAATGAGTAAAATGGTCCAAGTGGCTAAAGTAAACTAACTATATAAAATGGTTTTACTGCTCAAAATGATCCAAATGGTTAAAATGGTCCAAATGGTTAAAATGGTCTACTAGGTTTATCTGGGGTGACTTATTGGTTAAGATGGTCTGACTAAAAAAAAATGGTCCACATGTTAAAATGGTCTACGTGTAACTGGAGAAAAGGGTCCATTTGGTTATAATGGGCATATTGGTTAGTAAGGTCTAACTAGATAGAATGAACCGACAGCTTAAAATGGTCTAACTAGCCAAAAAGGTCAAACAGGTTAAAATACTGCAATTGGGTAAAAATGGTCTAACTAAGTAAAATTGCCGAACTGGTACAAAAGATGTAACATGATCCATTATAAACTGTTTAAAATGGTCTAGCTATGTAACATGGTCTGTCCAAATAGTTAAAATGGTTGAATCGATTAACATGATCTTCTCTCATAAAACTATTTAACTCCTAAAAAGGCCTAACCAGATTAAATGGTCTAATCCAGTAAAATGGTCCAACAGATGAAAATAGTCTAAACGGCTGTGAATATATGAAAGTCATATATTTGAACTGCGGATAAAGACGTGAATATGAAAGTGATCTTCGTAGTAATGAACACTACTCGAGCAGTAGCATACCGTTGTTGCGTTCTACCGTACAGGCCTGAATCTTTTTCAGGCCTCATTTTCACTACAGCTCAAGTAGTGTTTATCACTGTGAAGATCACTTCCATATTCACGTCTTTATCCGCAGTTCAAATATACGACATTTATATATTCACAGTCGTTTATTCACCACTTCATGGCTTTATTTGGAACCAACATAATGACCAGCTCCCAGTTGGCTTGTTAGCTCAGTTGGTAGAGCGCTGCACCAGTATCACAGAGGTCATGGGTTCAAATCCCGTACAGGCCTGAATCTTTTTCAGGCGTCATTTTCACAACTGTTCAAGTAGTGTTCATTACTGCGAAGATCACTTTAATATTCACGTCTTTATCTGTAGTTCAAATTTATGACTTTCATATATTCACAGCCGTTTATTCACCACTTCACGGGTTTATTTTGAACCAACGTAATGATCAGCTCCCAGTTGGCTTGTTAGCTCAGATGGCAGAGCGCTACACCGGTATTGCAGAGGTCATGGGTTCAAATCCTGTGCAGGCTTGAATTTTTTTTAGGCCTTAGTAGTGTTCATTACTGCGAAGATCACATTCATACTCACGAAAATAGTCTAATTGGCACAAGAAAAAGTGGTCCAACTGGTTAAATGGTTCAATTGGTTAAAATAGTCTAACTAGAAAATAGTTCGCCCCCTTGAAATGGTCTAAATTGAGAAAATGGCCCAGCTGGTTAAAATTTTCCAACCAGTTGAAATGGTCAACCTAGTGAAAGTGATCCATAAGCTGATATACGAACTATTTCTTGAGTATAGAAAAATCAGTAAAAGCATTTATTGTGACAGTTAATTAAGCTGAAATTTAGGCCATCGCCAATTAGAAAAATTGACCCTTCTCTTAAGATAGTTTTTAAGAAAATGATCCACCTTACCCGTTTTTTTAATGGATTTTCTTTTGTTATTTCAATAAGAAATCTACAAACAGTTTAGGCCAAAGACTTTCATATTCAACATCCTGGTTATACGATGTCGTAATTGAGGACTGAAAGGTTTGGAAATAGGTTACATACCTGGATGACCGTCAATAAACATGATTTGCATTTCACAAAAGCGCACAATTAGTTTTGGTTGCGGCGTCATCTTTGATGTAAATGGCACCTTGGATCAGGGGATGGGTAGGGCGGGGACGGGGGTTGGGGTTCAAACGATATTCACCCCTGGGGAGGGTAAAAAACCAAACAGGTCTAATTCGTAATTGGAGAACTTTGAAATCATCATTGGAGAACTTCAAAGTATACATAAAAGGCAGTGAAATTTAAATAATACTCGTGTATTACTATCGATTTTAGAGCGAAAGCACACTTTTTATCCATATCTGGGCAAGACACACCTTTTGTGTGGGCAACAAACACTGTGGATAGTTTCATCGTAATGCAACTTTTCCAACCCCCACTCGCAAAAGGAAAAGCCAAATTCTTAGCCCAACAACTCTTACGGACTTCAAATTTGGTCTCTCAACAATAAGTAGAACTTACTTCTCTTTATCGACTGCCTTTCGGAGTTTGGCAAACAGTCGGTTTCTCACCCATTTATCCACTTCGATGTTGTTCTTGAAAAAGGCCTTTGAGTTTATTGAGAGCTGTGAGGAAATAAAACAAAGTATATATCAAGCAATTTGAGTATTCATATGCAAATAGATAAGTAAAACTCTTTGGAAAAAACTGTTTTGTGCTTTAGATAATGTTTTTTAACAATTCATTGTTCAGCGTTTTACTACCTTTGCCCTGGTTGGAACGTCCTTTTATATTAGAGTATTTGCAGTTTTGTGCCTAGTCTACGTCTACTGCAGATGTTCCAAAAGAGGAGACCAAAGGACTAGCTCTGGCAAATTTAAGTCTACAGTCTTTTAAAATGTTCTCGTAGGGCTGCTCAGGTTTTGTATAGGACTTATTCTACTTAGTTTTTTTTTTATCATTTTGGATTTTCCAAAAATAAGTGAGCGATTGAACTGTTTTCACCCCAAATTCTGTTAACATCAGCATACAATTGATACGGAGAGTATGTGATCCTTTTAATATACTCTGTAAACATATCGTCTAATATGTCAAGCCCGCAAACTTTAAGATGTTCTGAAATATTACTCACTCTTGAGAAGCGCGATACGAGTTCCTTTGGGCTAACCACGTATTTTGCATAGCCAATCTTACTTCCTAAAGCGTCAGCCTGGTGATCAAGGAGGAAAACAAGAGAAAGCGAGAGAGGTCACAGTTATCGACGAACGATAAAGTCTTTTTTCTGCAATAAAACAGTTTCTCTAAAAATCTGATCCATTGAAAGATGGAAAAGTCCCGCGTCATAAACAAGGCCTGAGTAACAAAATCAAACGTCTGTGTGGTGGAACTATCGACGAGCACATGTTTTAGAGATAGGGAAGTCTCTCGGTAATAAGAGAACAATCGGATATTTGGAAAGCTAAGGACAATCGTAACAGTGAAATATAAATAGTCCAAGGTAAAAAAAGGAGAAAAAAGCACTTTAATGAATCCCAGAAGAAAGTAATATTTCCACACATCGCTGCAAACACCCATTATAATAATATACCTCGTGGTTACCTACAGATCACCTTGGTACATAAATGATTGAATGGTTCATTTTTCATTTTCACATGGACAATTAAGTTAATCCTTTACTCTAGCATTTGCTGGCGTGTGAACGATCCCAGAAACAATATGTCAGAGAGACCAAACCCATGGTTCGTGCACGGTTTACCGAACACAAGGAAACTCATTATTAAAGTCCCACCCATTTAAGTCTTTAAGCAACTATTCCAACTCACTCGATGGATCATCTCTCATTTCCCTGGAATTCCAGTTCTCCGAAAACACAACCAAACGAAACGAAAGAAAGAGAAACAGAGAAAAAAAGAAACAAAGAGAGAGGAGAATTCATGTCCAGACAGCTAAGCCGGCGAAACGAACACTACATGAAAATAATTTAAAGGGTAGATTTGTTCAGATATGATACCGAACTGTCCTGTTGCCTTTCTTTCCAATTATCTGTTACTTATCATTTGCAGGTTTTTTTTCCGTTTTCTCTTTTTGTTACATTTTATCTTTTGCATGTACCGTTAGCTACTTTCATTTATGTCAGAGACGTTAAATCTCTAGTGATAACACTGGCTCTGGGGAAGACAAGGAGTACTAGTTCAAAATGATCGTTCCTGTTGTTTCAGCCCCACAGTTTAGTTTGTGCGCTTAAATATAAGAAAAAATCCCGAAGTTCCTTCGCAACCAAAACATTTCACAACAAGCAGATCAAAGCTAAAAACAAACGGTGACATACCATATCTCGGCGCAAAGTAGCTGTAAAACCTCTCTTTGCGTAACGATGTAACATTGTGCATTATTGAATAGAAAAGCAAATACGTAAATAGATAATTGAATCAAAAAAATCTCGGTGCAAATTAGTGTTCATGGATGTAAACATTAGAAAGGTAAGTTTAATTCACCATACTCAGTTTACTATTTTACTGTAATAACTACTTTAAAAGGTTACAAGTTAAAATAGGACCATACCTTTTCAAAGACGTATTGTGTTGTTTTATCATCAATCCAATCATGTTGTTTCACTCTTCTCTTAAAGGTCTCCTTAATCTCATCGACCATCGAGTGGGTCTGGGTAAAAGAATCAGAAACAAGCATGTTGGCAAGCAGTCCACTTGTAACCGTTTATAAAGCTTTCCATGCAAATCTAGCCGCAATACCCCTTTTCGATATTAAGCAATTGCAATTTAATAGTTTATACCACTTTGTTCATCCACTTCGAGATCTTCATCATGTTTGTATTCCTTCACAAGCAAAAACTCTTGCTCAATCCTCTTTCGTCCCTTTTCAAGTTCAATTCTGATTTTCATAAATACAGACAACTTACATCTCCATGCTAATATCCTTTCTCTCTTTTCGGGTCCAGTTCCCCCCTTCATTCACCTCACACTACGAAATTCACTTACTCTTCCCAACTATAAACAAAAACTAAGGGAAGGGACTCTTTTCTAGTAGTCATGAAGTCATACGGTATATTTCAATCATAGCCGAATTTAAGCTTTTGTACCTTTGAACTATTTTCTTCTATTTTGTCATAGATTTGACCAGTTTGCAGACTGTAGCTGTTCGCTGCTTGTTATGTTAAGTTTCTTTCTACAATATGGTGCGGTTATCTTAGCCTGCATTCATTAACTTTAGCTGTTTATTTATATACATATCACTATATTTATTCTGAGTTGACTTTTGTTTCGCAATCTATCGTTTTCTTGTTTAATTTGCTTTAATGGATTGTTGTAATACTTTGCATGAATTTACTTTAAGGTGTAACTAGCAGCACATCCCATCTTCACTTGACCTATGCCATATGAGCCACTGGCTTTTGCATCTCTCGATGGAAAATCGAAAGAGAATCTTGTGTGTCTCTCATGTGATTAAATGAAATGATTAACCACCCTCCCCCTCCCTACACACACACATCCACACACTTCCCAGGTGTGGAAAAAAACCCGGAAAATGTTATTTTAGCAAATTCTGAATAACTGGATGTCAAAAAATCGATAATCATGCCGCATCGCTCGTCGCGTAGATCAACAAGGAGCCTCTCGAAAAAGTTGCAATTGGAGGCGAAACCCACGATCCTCATCCAAAGTGACCACTTTGGGAGATTAAATATGATACATCATCATTACTGGTTTCACTTTGATTCTATTGGCAAAAATTAAAGAGAGAGTTCTATCAATACCTTAGAAATTGCGGACTGATCAAAGAAATTCTGTACGTATAGGGAACCGATTGGAACGCCCATGTTGTCGTTAGTGATTCCCGTGCATGTGCGCCATCTAGGATCTGTGTCCTTCACTCCAGATATACGCTCATTGAACTTGGCTCGGGCCTTTCTGAAAGGATCTGACAGTAGACTTACTTTGTCTCGGATCATTTGCCACACCACGTAGTTAGAAAGTAACCTGAAAGTCATCATCATACAGCAATTCTGGTAATTAATTTCATCATGTTATGACGGCTGCAATCAGACGGATAGATCAATAAGTGCCGGATAGGCGAAGAGTTGGATGGACAGACGGACAGATGGATGGATGTCATGGACAGATGGAGGAGGAGGATGGAGGAGGAGGATGGAGGAGGAGGATGGAGGAGGAGGATGGAGGAGGAGGATGGAGGAGGAGGATGGAGGAGGAGAGAGACAGATGCGGTCCAGACATTTTGGCAGAGTATCTAATGAAAAACTTAAGTCAGCAAACTACTTGAATAACTTATTACCCTGATTTAACTGTGAAGTACCGTTGTCTCGCAGCAAGGAGATCTGAAGCTTTCTGTTCTATGGGGCTTCGACTACGTTCTCGGGTACTTATCACAGTTTAATACGGCTTAGTGACGTCTCATAAATCTTAACCTTTTAACAGCGCAATGCTTAAAGCCTGGTAATGTTATCTGTAAAAATGGGTAATATGCACTTCATTTCAGTGAGAAGTGCTTTTCTTTTTTTTTTCCGCATTAATTTTTCGCGGGAATAATATAAAAATAGATTTAAGTGTTCAACGATCTTATTCACTTCAGAACACTTCGCCTGTTAACCTCACATAAAAATTTTGTTTCGCCGTTGCCGATATTGGACGTCCTGAAACTATGCAAAAGATTTTTTATTTTCTCGTGAAATGCCTATCGTATTGTCCGAAAAGCGTAAAAAGTTCGTTTTATTCTCCTTAAATCACGATCAAGCTCCCCTTTCCTTTTCAACCCCTCTGTCAGAAGGTCTCTTACAGGGAACTCACTCTTTAGAGGTGTTCTTCAAAAGTGTTGCCATTTTCCGAAGATATGATGTTGAAGTGGTCAACACAATATCTGCCTCAGTCACATTTGCTCCTTTGAATATGGCCTGCATATGATCTAACCAAGGAAACTACAAAAAATGGAAGGAAAAATTATATGAAAATGATACACTTCTTTATTGTGCATGTCAATGTCATTTTGTAACTCCGACGAAAGTAAATAAATCAAAATAAATTTTTGATTATTTCTTTGTAGAAATCGGACAAGATTTGAGAGATCGTCAACAGCTCTCACGCAGGGGATCTCTATCTTCGTGAGGACTGCACTAAATTAAATTCGGTGTTAAACAACAGATCAGGTCCAACAAACGATCATCGAGAGCATAGTATTTTTTGACGTACAATCCCTTTTCACACACATGCACTCATCTCAACTCCTTTGTACACGCCACAGAATCAACACATGGAAGATCACGAAAAACCAATTAGGAGAGTGGCACAGCATTGATCCACTTCTTCAAAACGATAAGGATTGAAATTCGTAAATAAAAACTGCCTAAAATTTACCAATCACAGCGATGCAATATGGAACCTAACCTATCGCCAGTTGAAGGCCAACCCTTTGCGCAGGAAGCCTTGAGATTCTCATCAGAAGTCACCACGTCATACGATAAAATATAATACTTAATCAGAAATTTTAAAAATGGCAAATTTTTTTAAGGAGAGAATTCATGTAATCATGTTTCTTGTTTGCGTTGAGTGGTGAAGTATGCAATTTCAAATCTACAATATCTTTGGAGGGTATACGGAAATAACAAAGTTCAATTCTCTGTCAGCAGATGGTTACTACTACATTTAAAATTGTGAAATTAGTAAAATCTTTACAAGCAAGCCCGAAGGAAACGACTGACCGAGTCAGCTTACCGGCAAATTTAGATGTGGACTATTTCTGAAGAATTACAAGGGACTACTGCGAACAGGCATCGTGTTTTGCGGGCGGGAAGAAAATTTAACAAGTTCAACAAAACGCGACGTGATGCGTATATATGATTTAAGCTGGGGGTTGGCTTTGACTAAATAGGGTTATCTTTTTTTCAGTTTATCTGCTTAGTTAATGGGGAAGTAAGTTTTCATACCTGTGGAACGATTTGAATGAGGCTGTGGAGGTTCATTCTCCTGTAAATTCCTTCAGCTTTGTCTTCAGCTGACGTTGTGAACTTGATAAGTAACAATAATATTTTGAGTGCATTAAGTGTCAATTAAACAAGAAAAGATCACCATTTATTCTTTTTTTTCTTTCATTGAAGTAATGTTAATTCATCAGGCTAATCGATTTGAAATTTATGTTAACACTCACCCTAGCCAGTTTTGTTTCAAAATCCATGATTTGACGCATTTTTTCGGTTGTGTTACATTTTGTTCCAAGGAGAGAGGCAACTGTTGCCATATATTCTACATAAATGTCCACCATCTACAAAGAAACATCACTCTATTTGACCACGAGTATTTCTAGCAACAATTTAAAAAAAAGAGAGCGGGCAAGAAATGGTCATTACCTTCTACCGTCAGAATGTCTCACCTCAGGATGTTTAAAGTAAATCTCCCGTTGAAGACTCAGACCTGACTGATCAATCTAAATAAGTAAATAATAGTATTTGCTCAAAGACTGGACGACTTTCCCTTTAAATGTAAAATACCACTATCACTGACAGAGAATAACGCTTAATTTACCACAGGATAAGATAGTTTTTAATTTATGTTTCGACCAAAGTTTCCTCGGAACTCATTTTCAAGGAATAAACCCTTACAGGTAGGGTGGGGATATATACCTGAGGCTAAATTATTGCCTTAAACCAAATAAAAAGACGTGAAGCGAAAGACATAATGAAAAAATAAATATTAAGGAACTGTTCTTTATCGTAAATTCAAATATGTCTCGAAATCTTCTTAGTGAAAGTCGTGTACTGATTTCTTCTTCGAATAATCAGAGGACTTTTTTTCCAACAAAAAAAGAATGATTTATGTTTTCCAGAAACGTTAAGCAGTTTTAAGACAAGTTTTCCTCAAATAACAAAAATCGTCTGACGCCTTCCGACACCCACTAGAAAGCATTTTTACGCCGCTAAGAGGGAGTGTAATAAGCATGGTAAGTGGAACAGACGGATAAGACGGTACACCTGCTGGACTGTACCTCAAGTAAGATCGTTGTCAGTGAGCGAGAGTGGTGACTCTTTCCCATAAAATATCAATCGTACAAGATCATTTTGGTCCTAACTCATTGGTTCCTATAATTGGAGTCTGATCTTTGTCTATTCCGATTTCCGTCACACTTACCTTTATCAAATGCTTGGTGGAGTTAAGATGATCATTTGTGACCTCTACCGAGAAGAAAGGCGATGCAGGATAATATGTACTCTGTACATTCTGTAATACTCTGTAAATATCCCACGAAGACTTTTTCCAACTACCATTATGGCAGATGCTCCACGAGCCTATCTCTTGAATAAAATCAAGCATTGGTAATGGACCGAGCTTTTCAATTTGATTAACGTCCATGCATGAGTGATACAAGTCTCTCGTTTTCATCAGAGCCTCGTTATGAGGAATGTCATGCAACATTTTTGACGTTTGGAGAAGGCCACGAATTTCACCCTCTATAACTTTAGATAGCTTGGTAAATGTGGAGTAATCATTATAACTTTTGGGAATTGGATTCCGTCGGATCCATCCACCACAAGAAAACGTAAAAAAGTCATCACATGGATCAACCGTCGAATCGATGGAACTTTTTATGTAATCAGCGACTGCGTGACACTCATGAGTTTGGCATATATTTTTGCTCGTAGTCTCATTGTGAACTTCTGAGAACAAGTAAACGGCGCGTTCCCGTCCTTGAACCGAACCAAGATTCTGATGAATATGGCGTATGGTGACAAAGACCAGTAGACCTATGGTACTTACAACGAGAAAAGCTGATATAATGAAGGTGTTCTTCCTTGTCATGATTCCGTGTTTTAAAGAGTCCGCTTAGTTGTATTAACTTTCCCTCTAAACTTTCGTTTGACGATAGTTGTTTTTTGTGTTATTAAATCAAGGCTCAAGAGACATTCGTTTGATGAAACCACTTACTGACGCAAGACAAAAATCGTTATATATGAAGTGGTGTTGCGGAAACTGTTGGATGACACCTGTTGATCCCAAAATACCTGCCATTCTATTTGTTTTATAGTCTTCGGTCAACCACCTGTTTACAACAATCAAGTTTAGTAATTGATCCATAAAAAATTGTATGAGTGCATGCAATGTAACCAGACGAGGGTCACGGAGCGAATTAACTTTGCAACACTCAACACAAAATAGCCCAATGAAACAGTTAGTCATCCTTATCTAGGGCTTGTGTCACGAGTTATTTCTTAAGTTCCAACCGAGGTAGCCCTTTTATTCAAAAACACATCATCTGTCACCATCTTCGGCCGACGTTCTAGTGGACAAGCAACAAAATCCAAGATGAAATACATCATCCTTTAAATGCAATGCAGAGAGCCTCTAGAAATTCGAGACGTATTCAAAGCCACTCACCAACAAAATTGTAAATACGAATTCTCAAAATTCAAACTTTTCGCCATATTTTCCCAACTGTGAATTTCTTTCAATATCCGCATGGTAATATAGTTACTAGAACTCTCCCGAAGGAAAAGGGAGCTCCTAATCTCAATTCCCTTTTGATCTTTCTAAAATACTTCCGTTAAGACATTGCACTATAATTCACGTAATGTCTATTTAAGTATAGCGATAATTTAGCGACTACTTCCAAACACTGAAAACCAACGGGGGAATATCCTCGGAATTGCCGTTTTGTAGTGAGAATATTGTTTATTGGAGCATTCGCACTTGCTTGTGAAGCTGTCCTGATCGACTTATGTCAGTCCTTCGCCTGTGGGGTACAAGGCTAAGCAAGTTACTTTTGGAATAAGTCGAGGTTTCCGACTTTGTGTTTTCTGTTTGATTTTGATTTTGATTTCTCATCACAAGCTCTTATCCTTTGGTGTTGCACGAAAAACCGGTCTCCGCTTTTTCCTTCAAATTCGAGTTCGACGGGTGACTTAAACTTACTATGATTGTCTATTGCCTATTATATATTATATTTTAGAAATGATACAGTTTTGAAAGAAAACCCTGCGTAAAGTTTCGAAAATTGTCCGTTTACGATGGAGGTAAATGAAATCTAGGAAAACATCATTCCAATGCAAAAGTTTGCAGTTAAACTTTATTGGTTTTAAGAGACTGACAAATATCGATGCTGGGCGCTGGCAGAGGTTCGATTAAGAATTTTAAAAGAACACATCGCGTGAGGTAACTGCGAACGCGTACCGGGAAGTCGAATTTAACCACGCGATACCCCACACTAACCAGGAAGCTCTAAATCATTACACGTATCGCTTTGGTTCACAATAATTTTTGTACTCTTACGGATCCAGAGCCTTAATGACAGATCTCGATGTACAGGGTATTTTTTAGGTAGCATTCATCACGGCAATTAAACTTATGAAATATGAGAGAGGCGAACGTTATCTTTGTCCCCTATGTCGGTAAATAAGCTACGTCAAGGTTTGTGCTTCTTACCTTAAGGTTTTCAAATAAGGCGTTTTCAATCTGTTTAGATCTAAGCCATCCCAACCCATCCTCGCATCTCTCGAGTTTATCCTCATCTCTTAGGTGTTACACTATTCTAGCGAAGTTAAATTTTCAGTTTTCCTTCTTTCGAAAGATCATTCCGCACGACGCGGTAAACGATTTAATAAATAGTGACTAAGTTTCTGTCATTATAATATTATCCCCTCTAAAGGCTTTGCAGAGTATTCACCACATGTCTTAGGAAAAAAAGCACTCTGCATGATCTTGAACGTATCTCAGATTCTGAAGAAACATCCAGCCTTTGTAACTCGTTTGCACCTTGATTAGGAGACGATTCTGCCTCAGCATGTTCTTGAACTTTAGACATGTAAGCACTTGCTGATGTTAAGGACAACTCCTTGTTGTGGGTAAGAATCATGGCTATGTTACGTAGGACACGATCACCAAGTTCATTTGGTAACGGCTGCAACTGGAGAAATACAATTTGAATTGTTCGTGTTAAAGAGAGATCACGTGAATCCCTTAAATTTTACCGTCTTACACTCCATGTAACACTAGGAATACAAGCATCCAATCGACTGCAAGCAGATTATAGTAGGACAAATACGTAATCCAAAGTTTTATACTAAATTAGGTGGAGCACTATTTCCTCAGCTATTCTTTCATCAAAATTTAACACATTATAATCAAACATTAATCAGCTAAGCACCACAGTAGCACGGATAAAAAATTTAAAGGTAAGCCTACGTCGCCAACATAAAACAGTAATAAATTGCTAGGTAGATTTTCACTCGGGGGTTTTTCCCTGGATACAGATCTGTTCTTCTACGTTAGAAACGCCACTGTTCTTCACAACTGTAGGTTTAATTCGAAATATTACGAAAAAATTTAAAAAAAAAAAAGGACAACAGCAAAAAAATAGGAATGCGGAGTTCTTAATTGTTGCCTAGGACAAGGTTTCTCCTCTTTGTTAGCAGATTGCTTCAGTTGACTCACAATTAATCTTTTGGGAACTCAGCAAGCCTATTTTTCATCTTTGGTTATCATCATTTTTTTTCATAATTTTTTTTCTGTTTTTAACAGATGTTGAGACATGTAGTTGATCTCATCAGTGTATTAAGCCTTGCAGCTAGTGCTGGAACGCGAAAAAAATGTACAGATGCGCATATTTTACGTGCTCCTACCTCCTCAATTTCTTTTTTTTTTTCAATTTACAGATTACTTTATCTCGATAAGTAAATTGTATTCGCAAATGATAACCTGAGTTACCGAACAGCAGTTTTCCAGTTACGAGTGCTTTTAGGGAAAATGCTCTGTGTTTTTTTGACAGGTTCTAGTTACGATCCATGATAAGAGCACTGTTAATAACCATTGGGGGTAACCTTTGGTAACTTTTCATCCTACCTTACACATGGTAGTAACGAGGCATTCTAAAGTGTCTCTTGTACCCTAAAAAAGAAACAAAGCATACAATAATAATAACACAAGAAAACAAGAACATCACTAAAAGTGCTAAAAACTAGCAATGCCAACAAAAACCGCTCAGCAGGCCTCTTGACTCCGTATTTGCAGATTCTCTTAACCTCTAGAAGATTGCCTTTTATTGTATTCAAGGTTCTACTAAGGAGGCTACACTGCTGATTCTTCCTTGGGGACCTGTTAATGTAACTGTGACAAAAGGAAGTGAACTCTTCTTGCTACCATTCCCTGGAATCTAATTGATAATTTGGGACTACATCACAGGGCATTCCGAACTCAGAGTAAGGTTTTTTGTTGTTGCGTTAACCGTCTCTGAATTGAGGCGAGTCTTGTGTATGAACAATTTTCGAAAGTTAGATTACTCTTTGGAATCTTGAAAGGCGGTGAGTGGTTAACTTTTATGTACACTTTTCGTTGGCGTTCGTGGAAATAAATGGTCAATTACGGTTTTTAGAACAAAAATCTCTTTTACGTCTGTCAAAATGGAACATGCGGGAGTCAAAGTAAATGAGGCCTGATGACTTTTCTCTTACTCGGTCAAGTTTCTTCACTACTCCTATGGGATCATCATATTGTTCCAGTAGTGACACCTCTTTCTCACCCAGGACTGGTTCCTGTAAGAAAATACTGGGTAAGTCACATGCATTGCTATAACAAAGAAAATTAAAACATATGACCCCTTTAATAGATAAAAACATTTTTTTTAATTCAATAGATACCAATTCAACTGGCTGAGCACAACGGACCATAATTTAACATTGTGCTTTTTAAACAAGACTTTATGGGATAAACAAGGATTTGTAGAAATACTCACCACCAAACTACCTAACCAGGCCCATAAAAGACGAGTTAGAACCCACGGATCACTTTCAGTAAGAACTTCTTCCCAACAATCGAAGCTGTTAAGTTTCCTCTACATTAGAAAGTCAAGAAAAATTAATGTATCACTAACAGGAATCCCGTAACGCATGTTTTCCACTATAGTTGTTTCTATCAATGATGATATCAGTGATAATGATGACGATAATAGCAATAATGATAGTGTACATAGTAATAATCATATTAATAGTAATAACAGTGATGATGAGATTTCTAAATAATAATTATAACACCTATCAGCTCGTCGTGTTGTCGTAAATGTCCCCTTTTCCTTTACTTAAGACAACCAATAGATTTCTAGATATGATTTGGCTTCATCATTGTCTGTTGCAAACTTTAGGGAGACTGGGGTAATTCTTTGATAAGAGAATAACAATGAAGAAATGTAAAATGGTTTCCGTGTTTACCTAACCTGATGTAAACACGCGGGAGGTTGGGAGAACACGAGATAAGCGTAGGAAACCACGACGCGAAGCGGAGTGGTTTCCAGCTTATCGAGTGGTTCTCCCAACCTCCCAAGTGTTTACATCAGGCTATGTAAAACACGGATTACATTTTATATTTCTTTTATAAAATAACTAATGAAAGAGGAACGAAAACCGTGTTTACATACGCTCATGTAAAATGGTTTTATGGCCAATCAGAGCGCACGCACTATTTGAATTATTTCATAAAAAATTATAACGAGGCAATTTTTATTATTCACCTTGAGGAACACTGCGGGAAATAACTCCCGCGAAACGCGTTCTTATTCTCGTTCACTACGATCATTTCTTTGAATTAAATGATGTATCTGTAGTTTCTATCTTGTTTCGAAATTACTACTACTATAAAAAAAAGGATCGCTTTCAAAATCCTTCAGCGAAGAAGTCTTACCCTGTATATTTTTTGTGCAGGTAAAGTTGTAGTGACACATTAAAAACCCCCAAAAATGTATGTTTCCCCTTAGAACTGTGGAGTGATAGTTTAAAGATGCATTCCGACGAATGGTCAATGGGACAAATTTCAAACGCGTTACTTCTCAGCTTGTCACACAGATTTCGGACGAACATCATTTCTCCAACAGTTCATTATTTCAACGATGCTTTTTTAGCAGACGTAACTCCGTCACTATGACTATAATCCTAATTGCAGGTAACCTTAATAAATATGGATTTATGTACCTTAATTCTCTCTGTTCGACTATGAACAGTACTATCAACACAGGCACTAGATGCCATAGACTTTGCCACTTGTATTCTGTCTGTTTCTGATATAGGCGTCGCACTTTCCTTCAATGAATTACGATCACTGTTGACTTCTGGTCCACCTCCATCGTTATCGGTGGCTTCGAGGCTTTGACTGGGCCTTATTAATTTTCCTTTCTTGTTTTTTTGTCTTTTTGGCACATTTAGTGGCTCTAATTGCACACGATTGGGTCTTCCTTCACCTGGAAGAACTACAGTTAGTTCTGAACCACGTCTTCTCGGGTTTGTTACATCTGAATGTCTCAACGTTTTTCCTTCCCCGTTACTAAAAGTATCATCTACAAATGCATCACAACTCTCTGCACGATAGATGCAAGAACCCTCAAATAAAGGAAGACTGGAATCTACGTAAGGGTTATGCCTCAATGAGTCAGCTACATCACTAGAAAGTGAATCTTCAATGGTCTCTCTGTCAAGGTCCCTAGTGGTGAAACTATCATCCACTTCAGAAGAAACGGCTTTAGCGTCCTGTGAGAAATTCCAGGTTAGGGGAGCGTCTTCTTTTTTAACCCCTGCCAATTCTAGCAGTCGCCTGCAGCAAATGTACACCACCTTGCAAAAAAATAAAATATATACAAATAACTAAATATCGCTATTTGGGTGATTGCTCTAATTGTATTAAAATTTTAATGAGGTCTAACAATAGAATGGGTTTAAATATCCGTAAATAAAAAAAAACAAGGTAAAATACTAAAAGCTTACCAATGAAACATCAACCTTTATTTCAGTGTAATTAGCCTTGATCAGAAGAATATAAACTCGAAGAGTTTTAATTCCCCTAGACAACGTTTAACTACCAACTGAGTTTAGCTAGCCCACCAATTTCAAGGAACGTTCAAAGTAAATGGCTCCAAATCAGGAAGAAAATGCTTATTGGCTAATCTAGTGTACCGACTGACTCAAGTTTTGCAACATACCTAATGCTTAGAGGTAATATGTTTGTGAGTTGAGAAGCCTTACGTGTACATTTCTAACCTTTGGAACATGTTTAAGGACTCTATCCTCCTCACCATGCAAAACCAGTCTCTGACGTTTGAGGTATTGTTGTAATGTAAATGGCTTTGCACTGGGAGCACTAGAAGAAAAAATTACGAGCAACCATATTTACACTGGGAGTCCTCCTGAGGTGGTTTAACTTTTACCTTGTGCTATTTATTTGCAACATATTTTGACGCGGATTGACGATAAAAAGCTTGTTCATTTGTTCCCTGAGAGTACTTACAGCCCCATTTTGTTTCTGATTGTTTCTAGTGACTCTCATTCTTCAAGGAAAAAAAACTTTGCAAAAAGTGGAATCGTAACAATGAAATGAATTTAAGCAACAAAAACAACAACAATGATGATGAACATCATGATTATGGTCAAATAAACGATAACAATTACAATAACCACCATAACCAATAAGGAAAGCGTTTTGAGCCTCCTAAACAAAGGAAGGTCGGGTAAAAGAGGAAAACAGATGTTGCTTAGTACACTTCCGTTCTAGCAAGAAATAAGGAGTGCTGTATTTCAAATCCATTAATAATCTCCACTGCACACCTTACGTTACTGCACTGTTGAACAAAAAGTGCCATGCACTCTTCAGATCAAACCAAATTTAAAATTAATTTGAGTTAACGTACCAGCATGGAAAGACCACCCAAAGATGGTTTAGGAAGTTCGTGAAATCAATAACACACTGTATCTGGCCTCGTGTCTGCACAGCTTTGGGTCTACATAGTAGGTATAGCATGAAATTTATAAGATAACATCGCGGAAAGAGGAAGCTCTATTTGTAGGGACGGCAAAACTTCATCTGGGTCTCATTTGAACTTCACTCAACCACTTGTGATGAAATTAGTGATAAATGATGCTTCTTAGAAAATTTAACAACAACTCAAAAAATAGCCTATGTCATGTTATAATCAATTATGGTAACTGCTAGAAAGAAAATAACCCTATATGTGTTATTGACAAAGCGTGGCTGGATATTCGCTTAGTTCTTTTTTTTATGGACCAGGAAAAATTCGAGGCTAATATCCAGTCATCTTCACCAAATAAACTTGGTCAATATATGATATATGAAGAACCAAACTTTGCTTCATAAAAATCAAGAATGACTGGTTTGTTTTCGAGCACAGCGGAAAAAGGCCAACTTTGATGGGCGCATACCCGTTTTTCATTTGACAAATTGAAAAATAAGTTGACTTAATAAGTCTTGTGAACGTTTTCTAAAAATTTCCCGGAAAAAAAATTAATTCCTTAATCGGGAGTGGCACTAATTTCTCGTCTCGTTTTCCGTGAAATAAAACCTTTTCATATCACTTTGTTTTTTAAATTTTTTTATTTTCCGGTTCTTTTAGCACAATAACTCCTGAAAATCGTTTATGTTTTCTTTGTTTTGACCGTCTTTCGTCGTTTTTTTGCGACTCCATTGACGAAATTGTCCAAAAATTACGAACTTTCTAATTCCGCTCCACATAATTTTTCCCTTGTATCAAAGCGGGCAATCGCTCGCGTAGCCAATCAGAACCCACGACTCGCTATCAAATATCAAATTTAATGTATTTTACCTGTTTGACCGTACTTTGTGAATTGCCTACAGAAAAAGGAAATTGATTTAAGGCTAATATCAAAATGCTACCACTTTCACTCCATTTAACTCTAAGCATTTCCTCTATTATTTCATATTTTCCTGTTTTTACTCTCCAGCTTAATCACACCGTCTACAAAAATGAATAATTTTACCTTGTCAAAATCATAGTGATAGTAACGACATTTACATACGTTCTTGAAACGTTATTAAAGGCACTTTAAAAAAAATCTTTAGTTATCAACTTATATCTTGATGAAAGGTACCCGTTCATTCAAAACCTACTGGTTTGTCTGAGGCTCCTCTACCACTGATCTCAGTGACTCTAAAGCATGTATTTCTACAGTATGGCCGTATTTTAAATGTCAACAACCGGAAAATTGCCATTGAAAGTGGTCACCCATGAATAATATTTATAATAATTTGTCTTAGTATCAATGATGTATGTCAGAGAAATAGGCCTACATGTATATGAATTTTATTTATAGAAAGTTGAGCTGAGCTGAATAAAAAAAACATCTAAATGGTCACTTTTGGTACTTGAATTTCAGTTTAGAATTAATGGGAAAACATCTAAATACTTTAGTTCTTTCTGTGGGTGAGCATGGCTCCACACCCCTCTATCAATAATAACACACCTCCTCTGCCTCAATTCTATCAGAATATACAAGGTAGCAAGCAATGAGTACTCCTGTTCTACCTGTAAAAATATTAATAGAGTTACCTCATTACACCTAAACCTTTCTCTTGTATATGTCAATTGACCTTATGATATTGATCCCAAAAATTTCCTTACTTCCTTAAACCTCTGGTCAGAGGTTTTACAATGGGGGGGGATGTATCAAGTCCATTTGTTAAGAGTGCAATATCTTTCAGCAATATAAGGATTTCCACGTTGCTTTGTTTAAATATTTGGTTCTCTTTGTTTTGATGTGCAGTACACATGTCCCTTGTTTCAAGGAAAAAAGTTTGCCTTGGTAAAATTTGTGTTTGGCCTCTACAAAAAGACATTCTTCACAATTTTCATTCTGTTGAAGAAAAAATGTGTTGGCTATCCCTCTCACTCACTTATGGAGCTCTCATTTAATAAAATGTAATTAAAAACATTTTTCTCTAACAGTAGGTTCTGTCTCATAAGCAAGCAGTTTTGGTGAAATTTTCAGTTTTTGACTGGATACAGAAAAGTTCTAAGGCTCTAAAATTCTTAAGTTCTATAGTTAAGGTTGCATCTTTTAAACACTGGCATCCTCTAACATGTAGCTCAAAATGCATGTACTGTATCCATTATTTTATCTATCTGTATTCTCACTATATGATTAAAATCAGAATGTACATCTTTAAGAAACAGTCTAAAGGTATGTTACCAACCCAGTCCAGCGTGACAATGAATTGCAACCTGAAATTTCAAATAAAAAAAGAGAAAAAAAATCCAACCACAATCAATCAAATTTGGAGAAGATTATTGACAAATACCTCATGTCTTTTACAAGTGTAACTAAGGACAAGAGGCCTCAAAACTTGGATTACTTAACATTTCAAAGCAATGGTACTACAACAACTTGCTGCTAAGTTGTGATTGTTACAACTGGCATCTACTCCTAGTGCACAATTTTACATGAACAAGGCTTAACTGAAATACCCATATATACAGGTACATGTATCTTTCAGTATGAAACCATGATAAATAGGCTTAAAGATGGGAGATTCCTCTTTTGATCACACAGTACATTAAACATATGGTATTTAAGCCTATTTTTTTACCTAATTAAATAATTATGCAACTTTTTTTGTTTCTTTCAGTAGTCGCAGGAAACATAAAAACTATCATACAAAAACAAGACTTTGCTCAAATAATATGCAATCTATTTTCTTTGAAATGATGTGATAATTGTTCGAAATGTTATTTGAAACTTCTTAAAATCATCCTACTTTAACTTTAGCAGTCATTATCATGGCACAAGATTGCTTGATTTGTTAAAAACAAAATAATGTATGGAGTTCACACTGCTCAAGGTATTTAATTTTTTCTGATAATTTCAAGATTAAGTCAACACAAGACAGCTGTTTTATCTCAAAGAAAGAGTGTAGAAGCTCTGTGTCAAAGCACACAATTTGTACAACCCTTTTAGGTAAGCTAACCAGTAAAGTATAGAAAGGACACCAACCACTTGTGAACCATTCCAAAACCAACACTGAGTTTTCTACAGTTTGTTTTAATCAGAATTATTTTTGAACACAATTTTGGTCATGCATTGCAAGAATATCAATAATATTAGATTGTAGTATAACAAACTGTTGTAGTGACATAGTGAGCTTTTTTTATAGTTTGCCACTTGAATGTTCACAGTGGTATAACAAAAAGCTTAGGAGAATAGGAGGTGTAAATGGATGCGTGAAGTAAGATATTAACTTGTATTGGTATTAAGTTAAGGTTCTGAGGTGAATAACCAACCTTTCCTTCCTTAAGAGCAAATGACATAACCTTCACCATGTCCAAAATAGACTCAAGTGATCGAACACCGTAGTCATTCCTGTAAATGAACAATGATTAGGTGACTCCACTGGGTAAATCTGTACCCACAAAACAGAGGGGCATCATGTCACAAAGTGTAATAACTGATGCAAAATGTAAGGGTTGAGCAAAAGGTAATCCTAAAAAGTATAAAACTGTTTTCAGCAGCCAACAAGAATTTTTTTTAAAAGATTTGCTGAAATACTGGGCTAAGAGGATCAAGGCCATTTTTTTTGGCTGCACTTTTCAAGTGAGTGGAGGCCAAAGTGAGGCAAGTGCTAGGAGAAGGTGAAAGATGAGAATGTACAGAATGCACACCATTTCCCTTGCTTTTTGGTCTCCAGCCACCACCAACATCAGTCTTTCCCATTCAAAGTGTTGAAAACTGTTTATAGTTCTTTTATGATTTTGATGTTATTTCCTAATCATAGGCTTTCTCACAAATTTGCAAAATGTTTGCAGGCTTGTTCAAAACCTCTGATCTGGCTCTGAGTTTAGGGTTGTAAAAATCAGTCAAAAAGCTGTGGAACTAAAATAGCCAAAATAACTCATGGCCATCCCAGTATTACAATGGAGAAAATGCCCATTCTTCTGGCTAACCAAAAACATTTAAAGTATGCTGGCAAGAAATAACAGTTAGCAGATATTTTTCCCTTGTTTTGCATTCATATTTCTAACATATTTGGGCTAGATGGAGGGCTCCTCAGAGAGCTTGGTCCAATAAACAAAAACCAAATGTGACCATGTGATGACCAAATGATGTTACAGCCAAATTGGATAGCTGTCTTTACAAATAAATGCCAGAAAGTGTGAACAATGGTCTACATGTCTTGCCCCTCATGCTTACCTCACATGTCTCTAGGAAACACCTGTTGCACAAGGTACATTTAGTTTGTATATTTTTTAATTACATGTGGACTAGTTATCAATAAAGTATAAAAGACAACACTCACCATCCAAAATTGTAGAAGAAAACTTGTTTTCAAAATGAGAGCCATAAGGAAAATAATAAATCAGCCAATGTTAATAATTATTAGCTATTTCAAATAAAAAAATCATAATTAACTATTCTAAAATTTGAGGTGTTAATTGATCTGTTATCTCAATAAGTTTTCATGAGTTAAATCACATTAATGTATGCATTAAGTGTCACTGCACCTCAACTTTTGGTGTTAGTGACCACAACATAAAAATATGTTATAATTGTCTGCCAAACTTAGCAGCATCAGCAAACAGCATCACGAACTACTTTTCACAGAGTTCCAAAGTCACATCAGAATAATAAATAAAATGAGTAGTTCAATCAGACAAAGAGAAAAGGCACTGTAAAAGTTTTACCAGACTGCTGTACAATGAAATACACTACCACTGATGCAACCTGAGTGCAAGCCAAGCTCTGTTGTGTTTATCAAATACATTTACGTAATTATTCTTAACACAACAAAGGTTAATTTCTTACATTTCAGAATCAAATCACTATATACATGTATGGATTAAAAGCTCTATCTAATTAAAACCTTTCAGAATAATAGCCATGGGAAATTTGAGAGAATATTTCACAGAGTGGGTATACATGTAAGGTGACAAAGTCCCCTTGATGTTTTTAGACTTTTGTAAAGTGTTCCACCTTTACTTATTTATTTATGATGCTTGCCTCTGTAGAAAAACATGGTTCTTAGTTTCTGTTCCTTGGTTTTAATGCTTCATTATGAAGAATTAACATATTCCAAAAACATGTTTTTTTTGTGAGACTGTAGGCTTAGGGTGCTTATCACTTAGAAATAGGTGAGTTTTCCATCAATGAACTACATTCACACATTTCAATATTGCAATGATACCATGAGTTTCATTGGATCATTTTCTCTACAACTTAAGGTATCACAGAAGGAAAATTAGTGTTTTCATTTAAACTGAGATAGCAAGAAAATTATGTGCACTATCACTGTAAAAGTATACCTTTACTTACAGCTTAGTAAACACTGATTTCAGATATATAATTTAATTTACTACTAAACAGAATGGTTGCCTATTCTTCCACACTAGAGGTTTAACAAAATAAGTTTAATTATATACAAAAGAATTTTTAATCATCACGTTTCTTCTTGGTTATTACAATGTGATCGGCACATACTCTACTGAAAAGGGGCATCTGAGATTTGTATTTTAACGCCTTGTTATTTTAAAAGCTAAAATAGTGACACTACAGGAATGTGTCAAGAGAAAACAGGATTCATTAACTGAATAAGTGGGAGCAGTACATACTGTCATCTTTCATGAAGTCTTCTGGATCATAAGAAAAGCCACTAACAGGATCAATACCAAAGCCACAACTGACATGTTCTCCTGGATGCTGAAGGTTTATCAATGATTTAATTCCCATCCTTTTTGGAGAAAGCATACAAATCAAATGATAGAGTACACCTACTACGAAACTGTCAATACACACTTGTATAGAAAATGTCTCTCATCATATACAAAACAGATAGGAATACTACCATGGAAAGGAAATCAAATTGTGTGAACTGAGTGAAAATCTCCATCAGAGTCACATTAACAATTTTCCATTAATTTTTTCAGTCTAGTCGGTTGGTATTGCTATGGGGATTCTGCTGTAACCAAATAGTTCATAATAAAAAAGGAGAACCACAAAAATTATTTTAATTTCAATTAAACAAATTAGATGTTTAATGCAAGTTTATTTTAAAAAATGTAAATTTGCCCTTCACTTTTCTTAAAACAAATTTACCTATTTTAAACTTTACATTTCCATTTCAATGAAACCATAAAGATTTGTATAGTTGCAACATACATGTACATGTGCTGTGATATTTGCAATTAAGTTAAATATATATGCTGTACCTGGAAAACTGTTCGATGACAGCATATGTCCTCATAACTTCAGTAGATGGACGAGCAGTGGCTAAAATGTCTGGAGTTACCCTGTAAAAGAGTATGACAAATAGCATACAAAATAAATCACTGTGAGAACAACAACGGAAGAAAAGGGTTTCAGTGGAATTTAATTTCTTCTACATAAAATTGAAAATTAAGGGTACATGATTTCTAAGTAAAATTTATATACTTTGGGCTAAATAAGGATTACTCTACAGTAATCTCATTTGTATGTTGCAATTAGACAATTGTTGTAAGCTAGTTCAGAGTAGAGACTGTATTCACATGCAACATAACCATTAACTCTAAACAGTCGTGTAACCATGACCCTTACTAACAAATTATGACAAAAATTATTGCCAGAGCCAGAAGCAAAGATCCAAACCATTACAAGACCAAATGAATAAAGGGGGTTAGTTTCAAAAGAAACTTTGGTGCTGCATTGGTAGGAGAGTATAATTTAGTATTATCAACTGAGTTGATAACATAAATTGGCCACTGTAGAGAATTTAAATGCTGACATTTTGAGTGTTAGCCCTTCATGAGAGAGCTAAGGAAGGGTTAACACTAAAAACGCCAGCTTTTTAACTCTTTACAGTGGCCAATTTACTCTATAAATGCAGTTGATAACACAAAATTACCCCATTACAAGGCCAGTTTTCAGGCCCTCCATATGCTTTACAACTGAGTAAATCTATGTGAGATTGCTCTGACGAATAATGCTCAAAAATCAGCTTTGAAACTGTCAACTGAGAGTTGATAATTCCAAATTATCCTATGTGTGATTTCGTTTGTTTATTCTTTGTACAACTCCAGGGGGTATCTTTGGAAATTATGAACATCCTTGGAAGACTTTGAGTGATGAGAAAAGACCTCCGCAGAAAATATCGTGCCTTTGAGTCAAAGAAAGCCCTGTACATGTAGATCTGCCTCAGAATATCAAAGGTCGACCACTTGGAGGGGCTGATGACGAAATCAATGAGTTATGACACTTGAGAACTCTAGAGCTGCATAGATTATTTTCCGCTGTCCAATAGAAAATTACTCATCTTGACGATTACCATAAATTTATATCGATCAATATTTCATGAGAAGATACTATCTTGCCTTGAATGTAAAGACCTTTTTATAACAGAAATATACCATTTACATATTTAGACCCTAACTGCACTCTCAACTATATTTCCTCACAGCCATAAGCATACTCACGGTGCCTTAACAAGTCGTTTTTAGTCTACAAGTTGTTCTCAGCGATCCCATACTTCACCAAAAAAATAGATCTTCACTCTTTCAGCTTAACTAATAACAGTTAAAGCTTACCACGAGGAATAGAGTCCTTGAATCGCCATTTCTTCGCTTCTAAACTTGGCAGGGTTTTCATACTTGCACTGTTTTCCGCCGCAAAACATTGAACACTGTAAAGCACCCGGTGCAACGTGCCGAAAGTGCTCCGAAATACGCGAATATTTTGGCCTTGCATCCTTCTTTGGAAGATCAGAGTTGTTTAAAGTCCATTTTACTTTTCCAGAAGAATTAACTTCGCCTGTATCCATCACATGTCTACTCATAAAAGGCTAGACAGAGTGATAACACAAATCTTGTGCTATATTACATTGACATGTTCCGGCTGTGCTCCATCAGTTACTAAGGAAACTGAGAAAGATACCAGCTCAAAGGCGAAACTTCGACCGCGCATGCTTAAACTACTGACGAATTGAAGCAACAACAGACGAACTTTCGTAACTTTGAGATGAAATTCACCTCGAGGTTTGAGGCTTTTGGTCGGGGTAAGCACTTTTTGAAATACATACTACGATGTAATAAAATTTTGATAACAAGGTTAATATATAATGGAAGTTTCGATCAAATATAACCTTCTTGTGAATAGCGTTTAGATGTAAGTATTGTTCACAGCCATGATGATTATGAACCCTAAAGTAAGCATTAAAAATTCGTAAGCTTGCGCGAGAGGTCGTATTTTTCCTTTATAATTGGTCTTCCAGTGTTATCAATATGCTAGACTTAGAAGATCAATAATTTTTTTTGGAAAAAAGTGTCGTGTTGCTGGCGTGATATTGATGCTGTCAAAATCATAAAAAAGATTCAATTTTGCTGTACCTTAGCACACAGAGTAGGGAGTCATATTTGACTATATTTCCAAATAGACGCACCCAACTAGTTGACTGACTGTCAATACTGGTGATTACACCATACACTTATAATCCTCACTAATTCTATTGTGGCAATGGTCAACTCAAAAGCTTTGGCCACTCCTCTCTTTCTTTCGCATTTCTTAGGCATTTTTTGTTAATGAAGTGAAAGTTATATAACTGAAATAGGTGTAAATAAATGTAATCAAATCGGGAAATTGTCATCCTAAAGGGGAGGACCCCTGTGGCATTTGTGGGCAGCTGACTTTTTGGAAGAGCCTTTGATGAAAATTCCCATCCTAAGCCATGAAAAATGAGTATACTCAAATCAAATTCTCTCTCCTTGGACAAACAATATTGATTTAAGCATTAGAGTTGTATTTATTTCAGGAACAATTGATACACATTTTGAAAATATTCTGAAGGAAATGGTGTGATCAAAGCTACTGTTCCATTGTCTGTTATCGTACGGTTTTGTGTAGTTATTACAGAACTAAAACTTATTGTGTTAACATTTTAGAGTTGATCGGACAAAGAATTTTCAGTTATGGGACCTTCTCCAAGGCTAGAGGAGTACTGAACCATCTGGCTGGTGTCAGTGAAAACAAAGTGCGTGGAGTGCAATCCTGTGGATCCCCAAATTTATCTTCTGGTAAGTTTGGAGCAGTAATAACGAAAACAACAGAATCAGCCCAAGATACTCCAGTTACAGTAATCCTTGGATGGAATAGCTCCAGAGGAAAACATCTTAAAAAGTACAGCAAGATATTTGAAGACAAGTCCTTTGACACCATCTGTGTTCCAGCAAAACCAGTCAACACATTTCTTAGACCAGGAACCAAGGTTAAAACAATTGGTCTTTACATTTTGGATCTTTTGGTTGACCTTAACTGTCAAAAGAGGCCTGTGTTCCTCTATGCATTCAGCAATGGTGGCTGTGCTTTGTTTTTTCATATTATGGAAGTCCTCTCATATCCAACTACAGCATACTATCGGGCAGTACCAGTTGTTGGGACAATCTTTGATAGCTGTCCCATTAATCCAGACATTAAAAGTTTGCAAGCCACAAGAGAGAGTGTTACTGACATGATCAAAAATCCAATCATGAAAGCAGCATTATGGTACAGCATGACTGCCTTTATTCCTCCTGTTATCTACCTAAATGGCACTGTGAAACGTTTCATGTCAGGTATGATAGAATCTCCACTTCTATGCCCACAGTTGATTTTGTACTCAAAGACAGACAAGTTTGCTCCATACCAGGACATTGATTCCTATATTCAAGCAAGGAGACACAAGGGCATTCACGTTACATCCAAATGCTGGAACAGCTCAGAACATGTTAATCATTACAGAGAACATACTGACGAGTACTTACAGGAACTTAATGCTTTCACTGATTTTTGCTTAACTTCATACCATGATCAGAAAAAGTGAATTTTCATCATTAGATAAATCACACCCAATAGTAGCCAACACAGTGATTTCTCAAGTTTCCTTTCAGTATCCGACATGAAGTTGGCTTGCGGGTGGCCCCAAAAAACAGAGTAACTATGTTTGAAATGTGGGGTTTTCAATTGCTTAAATATTGGGAATGACTATACAATGAATGCATTTTAATAATTATTATTATCCTTGGTATTAAAGTTCTCTGGGGTGAGTTACAATGTTAGTTACCATATTTTAACATCCTACTGGCAAGATGATGTAGGCATGCTTAGTGCCCTGCTCTGCTCTGGAGCTATGCAGGTATGAAGGTCACATTGTGATTTCTTTGGGTTGCTAAAAAATGCGCAAGAGACAAGTCACCTGAAATGAGTTAACACCTGTGGTTGGGTTAGGATTTTTGCAATTAATTTCTCTGAGGCCTTTGATTCCGTGAAACACTTTATTTGATAAGTTTTTAAAAGTTTTTTACCAATCCTTGCATTGTGAAGTGATACAACCATCTTTTAAGAAAAAACTCTATAAAGTCTACAAAGCTCGGTATGAAGTGAACTTCTCATCAGAAAAAACAGGTTTATAACTCTGCTTAAAACTTTAAAGGTCATTGAATGGAAAAATCGCTGAAACAATTTCTCGTTGGAACAGATTAAAATACTTCACTATCAGAACCAACAGAGTCATGTACAATGAGGAGGGTGACATTATTAACAAATGGTAAAACTGTAGCGCCACCGTACACAGTTGACTCCTACAGGACTTTCAGTCCCTCTACACGACTCCAATAAAAACATACGGAGTCATACGAGGGTGGAAGTACTACAAAGTAAGTCTTGGTGTAAAATAACTTTGATTTGTAGCCAAGCAACTTCTGATTTGTGGCGAAACGACTTCGACATGAAGCTAAATGACTTTGTAGTGAAAAAAAACATCAAGATACAACAGCTGATACTTTTAGCTGGCGGGTAACTTTTCTGAAATTTCTTGATAGTGTCCTTATCACAGCCTACTCAACCTACTGGTCGCCTTACACTCTCGGTGGTCTGCACGGGGATATAGCTTCGACAGTTGAAAGTTTATTTGTTTTTCCAATTTGACGGTCGACGGTTACTTTTTAAGACCTTTGACGGTCAACGGTTAAATTTCAGTGCCTGTGATGGTTGACATTCACTGGAAGATATATTTCTATGCGTTAAAATTTATATTAAGTTTCTCTGTTTTTATTATAATCATTATTATTTTGAATAATGAATGTTACTTCAGTATCTCGCACACTTATCAGAGTCTTTTTCATTGGTTTACTATGTTAGTATTTTGCACACCTTTAGCATCCTATTTCATTGGATTTTTACGTTAATTTCTCGCGCACTTTTACGATTCTCCTTCGTTGAATTGTTGCCCTAGTATCTCGCACACTTTTAGGATTCTCCTTTATTCGAAAGTTGCGTTTGTACCTTGTGCATTTTAGGATTGACCTATATTCGATATAATAGTATAATGGTATCTCCTAAAATTTTGGAATTCTCTTTCATTCGATTGTAACATTAGTGTCTCACACATTGGAATGTAAAGTTAATATCTCCCCCCCTTTTTAGGAATCTCTTTCATTGCATTGTTTCCTTGGTATCTCGAGCACATTTAACGTTCTCTTTCATTAGATTGTTAAGTTGGTATTTCACGCATTTTTAGGATACTCTTTCATTTAAAAGTTACGTTGATATCTAGCGCATTTTAAGATTGACTAACATTCGATTGTGGTTAGTATCTTGTGCACTTTTAGGATTTTCTTTCGTGTGATTTTTACGTTAGTATCCCGCGCAACTTTTGGATTCTTCATTAGTACCTCGTGCACTTTTAGGATTCTCTTTCATTACACTTTTACGTTAGTATCTCGTTGTACTTTTAGAAATCTCTTTCAATCGAGTGTTACGTGCTGGTCTTTACGCACTTTTAGGGTTGTCTTTCATCCGATTATTACGTTAATCAAAACTATAACAAAGTTCTTTAACGTGATTGGTTATCACCAGCCCGATTTGAGCACGAATAGGACAGTGTGTGCGTGTAATTGGAGAATGTAATAGGAGAGTTAAAGGGAAAGGGTTATTTAATGTTATCAACTGAGTTGAAAAGGTAAATTGGCCACTGTAAAGAGTTTATAGGCTGATGTTTCGAGCGTTAGCCCTTCGAAACGTCAGCCTTTACACTCTTTACGGTTGCCAATTTACGTTTTCAACTCAGTTGTTAACTTTAAATTACCCTGTTATACTCTCCCACCGAAGCAGCACCAGAGTTTCTTCAGAAACTTACCCCCTTTATTGAGTCAAAGGAACAGTTGATACGTCATGCCTGTGTAAGTTGACAGAACGTGTCATGTGCGCGCACTTGTCTCGCATTTTGCCAAGTTAACTGTTGTTTTTTATGAAAACGTACAACTGATATCTAGTTTCTTTCTCAAATTCTGTCATAGTTTTGATTAATTGGTAACAGGACTTCGTGTCGTCCAATTCTGTCCGTAATCATAATCGTGATTGACAAATCGGGTCCCCGCCTCGCGGTCGTCTGATTTTGATTGGACTCCACTCGGTCCTATTACTATTATGAATCAAAACTATAACAAAAACCTCGAAAGTGATTGTTAATCTCCCGCCCAATTTCCAATGGAAGCATCTTGCACACTGGCATTCTCTTTTATTGGGTTGTTACGTTGGGATCTCGGGCATCTTAGAATTGACTCATATTCCATTGTCATGTTTGTATCTCGGGCACTTTTAGGATTCTTCCTCGTTACATTGTAATATCATCATCTCACACACTTTTATTCTCTTTCCCTGGATTGTTACAATACTACCTCGCGAAATTTTTAGATTCTCTTTCATTCGATTGTCTCGGGCACTTTAGGATTCTCTTAGAATGTTACGTTATGTTCCTGCGCGCCAGGATACTCCTTCATTCGAGAATTACTTTCTTATTTCATGCGCTTTAGGATTGCGTTACATTACATTGTTGCGTTTGCAGCTCGTGCACTTTTATGATTGACTTACAATCGATTAGTACGTTTGAATCTCGCGCACTTTTAAGATACTGCGTCATTTGATTGTTACGTTAACATCTCGGGCACTTTTAGGATTCTCTTTTGTGTGATTTTTACGTCAGTATCCCGCGCAACTTTTGGATTCTTCATTAGTATCTCATGCTCTTTTAGGATTCTCTTTCACTCGAAAGTTACGTGAGTATCTCGTCCAATCCAAGATTGTCTTAGAATTAGAATTTTCTCTTATTCGATCGAAATGGATGCATCACGTGCACTTTTACAGTAAGTACCTCGCGTATTTTAACAAATCTCTAGCATCCGATTTTTACGTTAATATCTCTTTCACTTTAAGTATTTCTTTTCATTCTAGTTTTTCGTTAGTATCTCACGCACTTTTAGGATACTCCTTCATTCGAAAGTTACGTTAGTATCTCGTGTAAACTAGGATTGACTAAGAATTAAAATTTTCTTTTATTCGATTAAAACGGATACATCACGCGCTTTTTTGTAGGATTCTCTTTCATCCGATTTTAACGTTGATATCTCTCGAACTTCTACCAATCTCTTTTATTCAATTGTTAAGTATCTCGCGCACTTTTAGGATTGACTTACGCATGATTGTTATGTAAGTATCTCTTGCACTTTCAGGATTCTTTTACATTGAATTGTTACTCTAGTATCTCGCGGAATTTTAAGATTCTCTTTCGTTCGATTGTTACGCTAGGATTTCGGGCACTTTTAGGATTATCTTCCTTTGGATTGTGGCTTTAGCATCTCCTAGACGCGCAGTGTGCACATTTGAGAATCTCTTTCTTTGGAGTGTTACGTTAGGATCTTGCGCACTATTTGGATACTCCTTCATTCAGAAGTTACGTTAGTATCTCGTGCACGTTTATGATTGACGTACATTCGATTACTATGTTGGTATCTCTTGATCTTTTAAGACTCTTTTCCATCCAATTGTTTCATTAGTATCTCACGCAAATTCATAATTCATTCGATTGTTACATTCGTATCCTACGCACTTTTAGGATTCTCGTTCATTGGATTGTTGCGCTTGTATCTTACGCACTCTTAGGGTTCTCTTTCACCCAACTGCTACGTTAGTGTCTCGCACACTGTTATAATTCTTATTTATTCGATTAGAAAGTTAGTCTTTCGCTTACTTTTAACATATTAGATATAGAACAAAGATAAAAACGTCATTGATCGACAGGGAATTATAAGTATGCTGGCAAAAAATCCAAATAAGGAGTTATCGGATCAAAGCAATCGACAGCTTTCAGGAGACTGGACATGATCTAAGCGCGATCTCAGTTGTGAGCGTGTGCAAAGACAAGTAATAAATAAGGTCACCTATTTTCAACTATTTATCGTTTTTGATGGCTGAAGGTTAAACTTTGAGTCCTTGACGGCCCGAGGTCTGTCGCTGTCTTCATGAAACCCCTGTATCAGTGCTCGCACAGAATGGAGCAATTAATAAGTAAAGCGAAGTTAAATATATTTTAAACTGAATCCTGTTGTTTTGCCGATTGTCTCTACGCCACTTACGGCAAGTTTATTTACCCATACTAACTTGATACAACGTAACATTTTATTTTAACGATCTAATGACTTTTAGCAAAAATTTGTAGTTTGACTAAAGCTCTGAGGAGTTTGCTTTGAGCTCCAGCCCCGTTCTAAATTAATCTGTGATAGTTCCGACTTGTGATTAAATTGAAGAGGAAATAATGTGGAGAATGTGCATGCAAAGTATTTCTGTGAAAATATAAATATTAGAACGTCTAGCAGCGATGCATTCGCCTTCTGAGGAGTGGGCCTTTATTTTACGAAGAACCCACAGAGCCGCTAGTTTTGCAGCTAGTTCCTTCTATCCCCACGGTACATTTTGCTAAAAGAAGCCCAGAGATATATGAAGAAAAGAGCGTTCTTCACCGGACTGAAAAAAAAATTACAAATTGTCGTTATTCTTCGAATACAGTCAAATCCTTGTTGAAGTGCCTTGGCCCTCTATCGCTTTAGTATCCCGAAACGCTCAAAATTTCCAGGGAGAGACAAGGTTTGGAAACGAAAATCGGTTGATTGAGAATTACTCGACCCAACAATATAAAGGGAAACTTTTGTCATAAAACGGTTTTCTTTAAAGTTCTCATCTCAGTGTGACCTTTCATTCCATAGGCTTAAAGGAACAATAAACCAACGTAGAATTTATGAGGCGAAGGAAGGTTATTACCGAGTTTTAAGAATAGCCTCTGAAAACTCCAATTAAAAATGCGCCTTATTGCTTTTACAACTGCAAAATGATTTGGTCTTTTCTTCATTAGTTTATCAAATTTCGAACGATCAGAGCACTCAAAGTAACTTACAGCTTTCCCTTCTCTTCCGATCACAGGAAATTAAAACAGAATTTCGTTGAAAGGTAACCGTAACCAGAGAGACACGTAGTTACTCAATTCATTCTGCGCAAGGAATTGACAGCCGGACTTCTCACTAGAGGGGCAACTGCAGAGGGGGACTTATTTAAGGGCACTTGTAATATACTTCTATGCTTATTCTTATGCTACTTAAAGTGGCTCCTACATGCGCCCTAACGTGAGAAAACGAGGACACCAAGTTGTAACCGAGATGTCACGATATTTGAAAATCTGCGAATTTTCTGACCTACTTTGAAAGTACATTTTTCATCCACCAGAAGCCCTTCATTATCCTGAATTTAAAGCAAAACTGTTTTTTCCTCTAAGGTTGTCTCATTGTTTCCGAAATTAACTTCATCAACTTGAGATGTTGTGTCATGCTTCTTTCGCGAATGGTATTTGCCAAAACCGTTTAGGCTAGCTAACATATTTACTAAAATTATCCAAAGAGGCAGCATATTTTGAAACACGAGACAGCACACTGAAAAAGGATAGAAAAAGTAGCATAAATCGTTGTTACATATAACTATAAATCTATTCATCTCTAAATTAAAGAAACATCAATTCTTTTTGTGATAGTGAGATGTATAATACAGAACGTTCATGACTGAGGTGGATGCAAGTTAGCCTTTCGCGGTTCATTTTAAATGGTTTAATAAAAACAAATAACAATAGATCAGCAATAAATTTCTTTTATCAGCACTCAGTGAAAATCACACGATCAACATCAGTACCGGGGGTGGATCCAGGATTTTTTTCAGTGGGGGGGGGAGACTTTAAAACACCAAAGCCTAAATAAGCCAAGAAATACTGCAAGACAAGTGAACATTATATACTTGATACTGCGTAATAACATAAGACCCTGTCTTTGCAAGAATTTTGGTTAAAGACAAGTGGTAAAAGAAATCCACAGGTCTAATAAGAAGCGGGGGTCTGGACCCCCGAGCCCTCTCTGCCTGGATCTGCCTCTGAATATATTATCGGATTCATATCTTCTTCAACGTTTAAAAGAGAAATGTAGTAGTTTTCAGTCTTGCTTGGGAATGAGGTTGTTTACATCAGGCCGTAACCATTCTTGAACGATTGTGTTAACGATGTTCAGAAGAGTTTCATTGGCTGTTGGAATGTCCACACTAAAAGAAAGGAAGAAAGTGCGCGTCAAACACACAGAACACCATGATATGAAGTGCGCCACACCTTCTCTACTGTTTCAACGAATTACTTCAAGTAACTCATGGAAAACCACATCATAGAACACGGGTTAATTGTGCTACAGAAAGTTCCTTGGCAACCTCAGCCATAATACCAGTTAAGTGTGCATACTGAGATTTTATGACTGAAAGGGCGCGAAATAACTTTTCCTTCGCAAGATGATGAAAGCAGCCGTGAGGCAATAAAAAAGGTATCTTGTGTTTCAATTATGGAGAAAACGGTACACCGAATCACGAGCTATGTGTGTTTTAAGACATGCGAGCTGTGGAGGGTTCTTATTCAAGTTTCACTGACAGTAACAAAGTTACAGAGGCTTAAAAGCGATGAAACGAGTTCTCGAGTTAAGGATACTTCGATCCTCCAAACCAACCTCGCTGACTCCAAGTGAAGCTTCCGACTTTTCAAAACTTCCACAATGTTAATGTTGATACACATAATTATTGTTTTAACGCAAGATTTTATGTTCATTCAGCAAAGTTGCAGAAAGTCTACATAAATAAAGAGGAGAACCAACCGAAGCATGAAGATTTTTAATGTCTTAGTTTCGTACTCGCAAGAGAATGTACTTGTTTTTCTCACAAGATAAAGTTTTGCAATTCTTTGAATGGAACTGTTATTTTTAGATACTGTGAGTGATTTAGGGCTTCTTATTGATAGCTGGCAGGCGCTTTTCAGGTAAAACCGTCAATTTTGAAAAAATGTTGCAAAGTTTATCTGTATTTGGTTTCATCCTGAGTTGTAGATGGTCAACTGCCATCTTTTTTCCCTCCAGCAATCAAATATTTGAATATTTAGGTTCCACCATAGCTTGTCTTTGACGATCTACGACGGCACGCTAACCGGACATAATAAACACATTATTTTGAGGAGAGTCTTTCTGATTTCGCGTAACAGATTATTGGATCGAGTACGTTCTCTAGTTCTTGATTTGTGTCCAACAATTATTTCTTTCTCAAAGAAAATCTATCCGGTAATGTTAAACGACTTTTATTTTCACAAAGATCAATGTAGAGCGAAATGAAGTGAAAATTCATCGCATTAGTAGCGAAACTTACCCACCTTGCTATCTTGGTAAGAAATTACCCAATACGACCAAGCGCGCTTCCTTCACTCAGTTGGTACAATTCCGCCTACTGTACCAACATATACTATTTTCTTAATCTTTTTATCAATTTCGTATATCTCCTTGTACATGTAGAGACTACTATAATGCTTCTTCGGATTTCTAGCCTCTGGACCCGAAACCTTGCTAAGGCAACAATTAGATGATTCGCTCTCAATTTCTGTAAGTTCTCCGTAGCTTATTTGGTAGAATGTTTGAAAGCAAACTTATTTAGAGCTGGCTGAGATCCTAATTACCTTGAGAGACAAGTGTTTGTCATCTTTTTTTTCAAAGGGTTTTGAAAATAGAGAGATCTACCCAGTGTCAGTCGCGAAATAAGTGGAATAAGACGTTTTCCTGCCTGATGTTACCTCTGAAACTCGGTAAATATGCAAGCAAACGAGAGATTATGAACACGAGATTTCTGTTGCGTGAAAGAGGATTCGAGTTTTGCCCTCGTCAGTTCATTAAGAAGCTATATTTATGTATAACAAAAACGTCCTACCTACAGTTAGGATCAGCAAGCATCCCTAAGTGGTAAATGATGGTCAATTTTAAGCTTAACCGTCGAATAAAGAAAGACACTAAATATTTATTACGAGCGTGAGACAGTGGAAAACAACCACATACTTTTCTCCCGGCTTGCATGCAAGCTCCGTGTAATATTTAATCTTTGGTTCAGTACCACTTGTTCGAAGAGTGGCAACGCATCCATTCTCGAAATAGAATGTGATCATCTGACTTGACTTGCTAACTGGAAGAACCTGGTGAACATAACCATCAAAATAATATATTAACAACATTTAAAATGTTGCTGATAATCTTGATTGAGTCCTAAATAAATGATGGATCAGTATAACCATATGTTTTTCCTCGAAGTGACAGGTGAACCCTCTCTCTCCTTATACGAGTTCGAGAATTATTGTGATTTGCAATCGGCCGATATTTGGTTTTGTAAACCGCAACTTTGTAACGTTATTTTATAGAGAGTGAAAGGTCGCTAAACAAACGAGAATTCAGCTTGCTAACGCTGAAAAAGTAAACAATCAAAACTGATCATCAGTGAATGAGTACCTGAAACAGAACACAACGGCAACTAAGAGGCGATAAAACAAACGACTATCAAGCAAAATAACAGCTGTACACGTACGGTCTAAAACTTTACACGTATTGTTCACAAGTTGAAGTTCCTTGTTCACATATGGAAGTTGATTGCAAGATCAAAATTTGGGCTTGTTATCACAGTTTACTAGTGAAAGTCCCGTGGATTTCCTCTGCTCAATACAGGTTTCATTATTCACAGTTTTCAACCTTAAATTTTAATTACAATCGTAAACGGACATGGACACAGGCTACTAAGAGCGCCGTTTGCATCATGAAAAGCTTGTGCTAGGTCAAAAAACTTCATGCAATTAATTTTGTTTCCATAACCGTTACAAACTTTTGAGATTTCTTTGTGAGTAAGGTATCATGAATATGTGATTTTCCTTCTACGAGTGCCAAGTTAAGTTTGAGCACAGGTATCTTTCGATATCGTTCGAGGAATTCTAACCTCAAAGGTCATAAGGTACTCACCGGTTTGTCACCAGGCTTGGTACTATCATATCCAGCAGTTAGATCTCTGATACCAGAGAGTTTATAGGGACCGCAAGTACTGGGGTACTGAAATATTCGTACAACACACGATGTGTTTCAATTACCAGCATAAGATTTCAAACTTATCAAAATATATCCAAAAAAGTTCAATTTGGTTTAAACTGTAATATGAAAAATCGTAAAAAATGTCAAAAAACGCGACATTAAAACTGTCCCCATTCTAACATCTAGTATTCTAACAGGTACACGTCCCCCCAACTGTCCCCATTCTAACATCTAGTATTCTAGCAGGTACACGTCCCCCCAACTGTCCCCATTCTAACATCTAGTATTCTAGCAGGTACACGTCCCCCCAACTGTCCCCATTCTAACATCTAGTATTCTAACAGGTACACGTCCCCCCAACTGTCCCCATTCTAACATCTAGTATTCTAGCAGGTACACGTCCCCCCAACTGTCCCCATTCTAACATCTAGTATTCTAACAGGTACACGTGACTTCTTGTGGTGGCTGCATTTAGTTTTCCTAGGCTCCAACGGACGCTATTCGTTATTCAGAAAGCTGAAAACCCAGCATTCTCTCTTTGGAGTAAAAAAAATTTAATGTGAGATGAACAAAGGATTGTAATTTGACATTGTAGATAAATAATTTTACAGGAAAATCCCGTTAAAAAGTTTTAGGCAAATTCAACATCCATTTTTCCCAACTTCAGGGGTTTGTCTTTTCGAGCAAGCCCACGCTGTCGAGTGAATTTCAACAAATGAAAACTCACCGTTTCAAAACTTAGAATGCTGCTAAGTTTACTGTTGATTTATCACCTTGGACATATAACAGTTAACATAATCAGCTCCAACATAAGAAATATATATATTGCCCTTGTTCTACGCTAAATGTGCTAAATTTCATAGTATCAACGAGGAACTAAAACTTATGGAGTAAAGACTTTCTATTATAATATTTCTCCTATGGCGCTAATTCGAAGGCATGTCAATGCATGAAATTTCCCCACATGAAATACTACATAAACAAAACGACATACATCTAGTGTTATGTTGGTCTTAGGGAACGACGGCTAGTTTTTGCCTTTTCCTTTAATTTTGTAAAATGCTGTCTGTGTCGAAGAGGAATCCCATCTGTCACTGTTTATTTTTGTTCACCTACGCGTGCAATATTGGAATATTTCAATGAACTCAACAGTGTCAAATTTTGAGACGGCTACTTTTATCGAAGAAGCGAAACGAGAAGCCAAACAAGATTACGAAAATAACATTCGTACTAAGCAGGAAACTATTGCATTGATCTAGAAAGCATGCAGTCGTAGTTCCTATACGGATGTACGCTTACTTCATAGGTGATTCGACTCTGATTGCCCCTTCGCATGGCGTAACCTTTCCTGATTGACGGGTTTTAAAGGATCATACCAAGGTACAGAAAACAGAGTGTTACTATACACTTACAACTCACCCAAGCATTCTCGAGAGTCCTTATGCGATCAAAGATGGACTTTATTGTTGATGGAGAATAACAAAGGTAGTAAGAGTTGTTAGTCACGTGGACACCATATCTACAACATAAACCAAATACAAGCAATATAGACAGTCACGTTAGAGTCATCAGTCAATCTTAATGATAAGGCAAGTTGTTTAAACTGAAGTAAAATTCAATGGCCTGGAAAATGGATATTTCAAATTCGACATATCGTCTTTCATTATAATACACGTAAACTGTTCGAGAGATAAACGTCTCTTTCTATTCAAGAGATTTTTGCATGCAATTTGTTGGTGCATTTGACAGACCAATACATTGTTATGGACAACCCAAAATGCATTCCTTCACACACTTTAGGGGCCATACTACAGAACTCAGTCAGTGCTACTTGAGTCCACGTTGTTGCATTCTACTATTGCTTTTAGTTTTGCTAAGCCTGGTATCAGTTTCCGGCCAAGATGTAATCCTAGCCGAAATGTACTTCTCGTAAGAAAACGATGCATGTTTTATCGTGTAATGTCCACACTCTTCTGGATAATGATTCAAGACTGCAATGCCGAGCGGCCCTCTTAGTGACGACGGTTCATTAATACTACAGAGAAATAGCTGTTCTAATATTCTCCGTGGAGTCAAGTCGGGAGGAGGTCAGTGCGAGTTAACCTTCTGTCGGACAAGCCTTGAACTGGTAGTGCTGAGTTTGCAATCGGCACTCCGATTGCTAAAAAGCAAGAAAAAATTTTATAAGCCACTGGTGAGACTGCCAAGTATCCGTATAATCGGCGCCTTCACCCCAACTATGACCTGCATTGAAGGTGTGATAGGTGGCCTTCTACCAGGATATTGGATAAGAACAACAAAGGAACACCAGGTAAAAACAAGCTCATCATCCTTGGCGATTTGAACGCTCAGGTTGAGTGTGATTGACAAAATGTGACCAATAGATGTAGAGCAAAAGATTACTAATCCGATGAGTCGAGTGTTAGTCTGACCACTGCATAGTTAGGAGCAAATTGTCTCTCCAAGAAACTCAAACAATGCAAATAAGCAGACATCCATAATGACACCAATGACATGGATATTTGAAAAAAGAATGGAAGCAGCACAGGGATGCCGTGTATTCTTCCAGTGCTTTGTCAAATGTAAACATCTAGACAGCTTTGACAAAAATTGGATAAAGATTTCAGAGTTATCACTAAAGATGCACAGTACCCATAGAATCCACTTGACGAAGAAATTACACAATGCCACGAATTCGTTATACCTCAGCTCAAAGCACACGTCTAGGAAAGGCTGCCCCAGATGAGGGACTCGTGGTGGGATAGAAAGGCCAAGGAGCTTCAAAAGGCTACTGACAGGCACAGCACCAAGCTGTTCTACAAAGGACGTAGGCCCGTGTATGTCCCTTAATCATTTGGCACTTCATCCATTTACTCATCAGACGGCGAGATATACAAGGGCATTCGACACCCAAGGGATGAAAGGTAAGTGAACTCCAGAGCAACACCGCAGACAACCCCTCACATATCTTCAGCTTTTCAAGTGCAATCGTGCCTGTTTTTCAAGAAGCGGCCTTCTCTTCCACGAGAGAACTCGTTATCACTACGTTGCAATCGTGTACTGGTGCACTGACTTACGGAGTGGGAGTCCATAGATTAATGCAATTAATGCAATGTATGATTGCATAAACATTAGTAACGACACAATCACAAACCTCTTGTACAAATTGTTTAGCTGTTCTGTTAAGGTAAGTCCCTGACGGTTGAGGTAAGAAGCCATTTCTGCCATTACCACAGCAGCGCTGATGCCATCTTTGTCAAAAACAGTAGTGCCATACATAAACCCTACAAAAGAAATGAACACCAGCAGACAATTAGCTTTATAAATAGTTGTTGGCTTTCCAGTTATTTAAAATCATTCATTCTTTGCCTTCGTTCTTCGATCGTAGTTTTGGTACCCACTACTCTTACAAACACTTAAAAATTACATCAGCTACATCAACGCAATCGTTTATTTCACAACAGCTCTCGTTGTTACCAAACAAAATGTATTATCATCCGATAAAAATGAATAATATTCATAACAACATAACAACAATAACAACTATAATAATACGTAATAATAGGACGTAGTGGAGTCAAATTTATAATAGTAATAGGAGCGAGTGGAGTCCGATTCGGTCTGTAATCATACGAGTGATAAACAAAATCGGGAGTTCGATTTGTCAATCACGAGCATGATTACCGACAGAATTGCACGACACTAAGTCCTGTTACCAATTAATCATAACCGTTACAATTTCCGAAAAAAAAAAACAAAACATTTAGGACAAACATCTCTGGTAGAGAAAACGTCTAAAGTAAAAAATTACTCCATTTTAGAAATTCTCCAGTTTTTTACGCGGGACAAGTGGTTGTTGCTATGGTTATTGTATTCAATTCTGTGATTGGTGGATTTAGCAGAATGGACTTAGTGCGATTGCATGGCTGCTTCAACTGTCAGATCCCATGTGTCCGTTTATTTGTTTTATTTAGAACCAATGTATGTTTACTTCTCACCTATTGCTTCTTCAAATGTAAAGAGGACAGTTTTTCCTTGGGCCATAAGATCACAAGCGAGATTGCCCATCCATTTGAAGCCTGTCAGAGTTTCCTATGTCAAGTAAATTGTCAGATGCATGAGCTTCATTTCCTCGTATTGACCTATAGTCGCTCTATTTCTGAGGCTCATAACAACTTAACCTAAATTTTCAATTATATTTCTCTATCCTTCTCTTGGATTGCTCCATACTACTAGTGCATGAATAAGATAAAATTGTGTGATCAATTACACCAATGGAAACTGGTATCGAGAAGAAGTGAACTAAGAGAGTTGTTCACATGGTTCGACCATGGGCCTGACGTTTGGAAAATTTTTACTCGAAATGATCTGACGTTTACAATTCATTTGAAATTCTCTATATCGACTGAGGACCACCACACGTGTGACACGGCGACGAAACCAAAATCAGCTTAAAACGGCTAAAAAGAAAAGGGAAAAGCCTCTGAGTGACAAGCTGGCTACCTGCTTCATATATCAAAATTGTGACTCCATAACATAATGGGAAAGCAAGTGATATTTCCTTTTGTATTCAAGGAAACAACATTGAATCTTACGCAGCTAGGTGTCGGTGAATTTGTATACCTACCTAAATGAAATAATATGAAAGCGGGCGAGGCCCTAAGCTAGTGAAGACTGATCCATTATTGATGTTGATTGAATAATTGCTACGCTGGGCATACAACACGAACAGCAGCAGTTTAAACATCAGAAGTAATGATGATTATAAAGAAAGAAACAGGAAGCTACTGAGAAATGTTGCAATCAATTAGTCTTCACTAACGACCACTACAAGTCAATGTATGACTAACTTCTATATTCCTGGTGCAAAGCATGAATGTAACTGCATTGTTATGTCACAAGTAGTTTCAATGTAAACTAACTTCAAACAGGAAACCTTCTTCTCTAGCCATAGCTTGAAGCATTTTTGAAGAAACTGTGCTGGCAATCATGTAAACAGATGAGCCTGTTCCATCAAACAAAAAAATTATATCAACCACCTTCTAGTAATTTAAGTTGTCATCGCAATTCCTTCTAGATTATAGTATGTACTTATCGACTCAGTTTAAGGGCCAGATGCACTCGGTTCGTCTGTCATGACCCATCTGTTCAACTATCGGCCAGTTATTGGAAGGGATAGTAGCTGGAAAAAGCGGGTTCTGGCGCATTTTGAAAACAACCTTGATTTTGAAGGCAACTCACGAAATTTAACCTTGATTTCCAGCCAACCTTGAAATCAGCCTTGATTTCAAAAAACATTTCCTCCACATTTTGGAGACAACCTTGACTTCAAGGCAACTTGAAGGTGAATAATATTTACAATATATATATAAATATTTTAAGAGGAAAAAAGGACGCAACTACATTTTCCCGACAAGCCTGTTTCGTGAATCGCTTCACTCTTCAGGGGTTTAATGTGCTGTGGGTTTAACCCCTGAAGAGTGAAGCGATTCACGAAACAGGCTTGTCGGGAAAATGTAGTTGCGTCCTTTTTTCCTCTTAAAATATTTATTCCGCTCTGCTTCAACGTATTGGGCACTGTTCCACGCGAAAATCGACTTGCAGACTCCCTCTATATATATATATATATATATATATATAGAGGGAGAGATATAGCTCTTTGGCATACAAAGCTTTGCTTTCATGTCCAAATCGAGCACTCTACTAGGATGAGTCATTGCTGCTAGCATTATGCATGCTCACTAGTTTTTCTAGTTTGAGCACTCTGGCATGGCTTAGATGATCCCACATATGTGAGATCACTTGGGGTGGCTATATGGTGTTACCTCCATCCTAGCATCAGCACTGCACTGATGAGGCCCAGAAGGCCGAAACAGTACTGTCTGCAGTTAGTTATATATATATATATATATATATATATTTCCCTCTCATAATATTTTTATATATTTTATTTTCCTCTCATAATATATATATATATATATATATATATATATATATGTAGTATTTACCTAAGTTCTGAAGAGGATGTGAATATCATCATCTCCAATGATCCTCTTGTCGCGCCATCGGACCGTTAATTGTTCGTGTAAAGATTTCATGCCTTTGCTTCATCACGCATCATTACGCTTGAATTTCACAACATCACCTGTGAAATTCAATTATTTCCAAGCATGCTTCATGGTTTCGTACAACAGGATCGGCATCCATGTTGTATCTTCTTATGAAGAAGTCGTGGTGTGCCTTGACTTGCTCTTCTGTCATAGGAGTGTCTTTGTAAATGAGAAGTCTCATTAAAAAGTTACGCTTTCAAGCTCACAGTTAATGATGTTGAGCTGAGCATCTGAGAGGATGAAGATGTGACATTTAACATTCCCTGAGCGTGACGCTTTCCTGTTAATTGCGAGTTAAACTCCTCCTTTCGTATCCACCAATCTCGATCCACTTCCATGAAGATCATTGTCTCTCATACTCCTGAGATCGATGAAAAGAGTGAATCTGTCTCTAGCATAAAAGTCTGTTGCATTCATCGCGCTTTTTTCCCTTCCAAATCTCCTGAACACCTCTTCCCACAATTTTTTTGTCTTCATTCCTAGACTGTGAACCTTATTTGGGATTCCATTGACAATCACTTTCACTTCAGTGACATCAGGATTAAATGTCTTCTCACTATCGTGAGCACCAGCGACATATGCCTCGTTAAAAAGAAGAACAAGTCCCTCCATTGACCTCCTTGGAACATTGATGCTCTCATTGATGATTGTGTCTAATCCCTTATTCACTGAGACTGTCTTGAGATGAGTGACGTGCTCGTACACGAATCTCTTTCCATTTTTGTAGTTAGACGAGGCCTCATCAGCGAGTTCTGGACTGTGAATAACTCCACACTCAAGCTGGATGTTAGTCAACTCATGGGCGAGCTGTGTATTGTTAGATCCTAGCACAACAATGCTTACAGGTGCAAGCCTGAACTCGAATAGAAGCTCATCGATACAGAAAGAGCTCTTGGGAAGAAGACTCCATGATCCTTCAGAATCTCATGGTCCGATGGAATCCTATAATTGTTCTCATAAGCATCAATGAACTTCTCCACCTTGTCATTTCTTGATTTCTTCTTATCTTCAGCTTTGCATCTGATCTTCGAAAAATCAATAGACTGAACAGCTTCTCTGAACATGCTTGCCCTCTCATTCTCAGTCAAGAAGAGGTCCTCGTAGAGCTTGAATATATCGTAACCATCAGTGTCCTGCGCGATTTCTCACGCGAATTTCACAGTCAACCTGTCAACAAGAGCTCTTGTGACATTATTCACGATATAATTGTTTGCGTTACCACTAACTCAAAGATGAGTAAAAGAGATCCTGGCACAAGGACGACTCCGTCGTCAAGCTTTGGATCTAGGACTCTAAGGACTTAACCTGGAGATGTCCTATCAGGTTAAATGTTACTCTGTGAATTGCACGGTCAGTCTAGAGGGCATTTGACGTCATCTTTTTGAAAATATGGGTTGTTTTTTCCACTGACTCCCATTTTAAAATAACAGATATATCATTATAAGATGGATGATTTTGGAGATACTGTACTCTATTGAGACACAATGACGGTGATGACGGTGACGACGACGGCGACGATGACGATGATGATAAAGGAAATGCATCAACACCTTCTCAACCTGATTATAATTCAACTCCAAGGCCATCAGATGAAGAAGATTTAATGACTTTAATGACGACAATGAATAGGGGAGAAGAGAAGGGGTTAAAAACTTCCGACACATCTTTTATTGTAGGTGATACTACTCATTAGCGAGTCATCACAACAAATGACAACGCATGGGAATAACTTACCAGAATTTATCCTGAGGCAGACGCTTCGGAACTCGAGGTTTCTTATAGTAAGACAAGAAGGTTGCAGGTAAAGATATTTGTTCAGGGCAAGAAAACATCCTTTATATACTGAAGAAAAGGGTACGAGTAAGCAAAGGTTGGATCTATCACTCCCAAACAAAATGAAAACCTCAGAGCGAGAGGCTTTGATTGCTCAGAAGGAGAAAGAAATTGAAGAGAAACAGAAGTCAATTAAGGAGGATCGGGGAATTGCTGATGATGAGAATGAAGACCAAGCTATAAGAGAAAGAGTAAGAGAAAGAGTAATAGGAAATCGAGAGCGGAATGTTGCTCTTGAGAATAAGAGAGAAGAACTTGAAGAAGGCACTTCACTAAGAGAGAGAGTGAGAAACATATTCAAGAAATACGGTTTCACAGTCTCAGCTGTTGTCCTAGCAGTGGGAAGAACGATTGGAATGATTGTGAGCGCATTGACAAGAGGCCTGAATCTGTTTCCATAGAAGTTAGGGATGGTTTTAAGACTCTTGGACGCAAAATAGCTCTCCACACTTCATAGGCTCCACAGTTGGCTTGATTTTCAAGACTATTGGATCAGTGATCAGCTTCCTCGGTCAAAATGCATGGCTTCTAATAATGGGAGTAGCCATAATCAAGGGTTGAGCGCGTTCAGAAGAACAAGCGAGGAACCAACAACGCTGATACCAGTCTAGCTGAAATCAATCCTACCTTCAACATATCATGATTTGTTTTATCTAACCTTGGTGGTGTCTTCACCTGAACCTCAGTTGAGGTCGTATTCACTTTATTTAAAGGGTGAGAGGTGCCCCTCTGGGGCCTGCCGCTCCGCGGCCTGGCCAAAGGTATGGGCATTCATGTGCCTTTCTCCGACTGATTTCATCTCCATTGATTTGTTGACTCCGACCTTCATTTCGGCAGTTGCCTTCTTCAGGCTGTTATTAAACCGAACCGAGTGTTCAGAAAAAAAGTTGAGGGCATGAGCCAGGTGCCTGGTGAGACTGCAAGATCATGCTGGACTTTCACCTCATCAATAACGAGCTGAAACCTCTGAACGCTCTTCGAAATGTCTGACTTTCTGATCACATCCTCAATACAAAGAACATACGTTGTGCTTCCTTAGCGCTTCCTGATGAACCCAAGATTGATGATCTGACATAGACTTGTACACCGAGAATACAATTAACGAATATCTCAATCATCTAATTCAGTCCCGTCATCCTAGCTTGCGTCAGACCTTCTGGCTTGTCTGCCATGAAGAAGTCGAATTGCCTGTCAACTTTCGCATTATCATTCCTTATGAGATAAATGTGATTGCGTTTGATGGCTTTTCTACCCCCATCGCTGAACTTTTTTCTTCCAGGATAGGTTATTGGATGATCTGCTTCCGGACCAACATTCGTCACATAGATGAAAACAGATCCGAGATCGTGATTATCACCTTCTTTGAAGCGGAAGTCTTCCCTTTCGTGGCCTGCCGCGGCCTGTAGCTGATCAAATTCCAAATTCTGCACATATTCGTTTGAGCAATAGAGTGTCATAATTATTGTTTACCCGGCTAAAAGTTGGGTCACCAGGAGGAGCCGATTCATTCTAGATTCCACCCATCTCAAAGAGAATCCTTCTGACGGTAAAGTAGATGTGAAACATCAGAAATATCAAACATCTCTTTGATTCTTCACCTGAGGTGTGCTGAATTTTCATTTCTGTGAATATTAATCTGAATTTTGCATTGAAGGGTTGATTTGGGGTAACAAGATCTTAATCTCTTCATTCAAGCCGCTGACAGGATTCTCGTTAAATGGAACTGTCGGCACCTCCTTCTTTCCTGTTCGGTGCTGCTGTTCTAAAGACGATGCAGTGCTATGGCTGATGAAGTAAGCCATTTGGCAGATTTATTTGCTTGCCCTGAAGTATATCCCGAGACCAACTTTTGATCTTCAATCTCCAAATGCAGTTCATCAAACTGATCTTCTTTCCACATGACAAAGCGACCTTAAGGTCGAGGAAAGTCTGTAAGTACGCATTTAAAGTTGTTGGTGTTGCAAGTAGATTCAAGGCTGCCGAACCTCTCACCTCAAAGGATTCTTCTGAGATTTCAAAGAGCTTTTCAGACAATCTGTAAGCGTGGACCACTGAGATGGCCAAACGTTCTTCAGGTTGATCCTGGCCATGAATTCATGGGTGATGTCACAAGAGAGATGACAAAGTATGATATGAGACGTGAATGAAAGCGATCTTCGCAATAATATGTAATATATAACTTCCATATATTCACAACCGTTTATGATATGAGAATAAGAAGACAGAATGTGAATGTTTACAGAGATCAGGGAATCATTGAACAATTCATTTGAACTTTGGGTGAACGCCTCTTCACTTTCCAGTACATCAAGAGATGAACTTCAAAGGGGGAAAGAGATCAACTGAATGGGTGAAGAGGCTTCCAGAAGTTGTTTCAGCTTTGAATAGCGAGGTGACCAGGTTGACTGGAAAGAAACCTGTGGTTGCCATCAAAGACAAGTCGGTTGATGTAAAGAGTTCAACGACTTATTCAAGGCCTATTGGCTTGAAAGAAAAGAGACTAGACTTTTCAAATGTGAGATATCTCTTTGCCGCTGGTGAACTGGAAGGTGGTCAGAAGTGAGCCTCAGACCCTGAATGGTCTATGAAGTTCTTCAATATTGATAGAACACTTGTGAATAAGAATGAGCCTGTTCTCTACTATCTGAAGGATGGACCAAAGTGTGGTTTTGTCAGAGAAGAGCTTCAGATTGTTCCTCCTGGAACTGAGTTGCCTCCTGAAGGAATTTGTTAATTAGAAAAAACCTAATAAAAAATAAGTTTCTCAATAGACCCTAGCAATCCTAACGAATCAATTCAAGAAACTGATAAAGATATGAACAATAGAAAGATTGTCAATCTTGCCAATCAAACTAACCACCAAGATGCAGTGACCAAGAATTAAGTTGATGAAAAAACAGAAACAAGCGACTTATTCACTTTTTTGTCAAAACATCCCCCCAGAATCTCTTCATTGAGACATTCATAAGGGAAAAAGCAATAAGCTGGTATCACCACAACTCAAACAGGGAAGTACTTCTTTATAATAACTTCAGTGTCCCTGCTTTCAATTCATCAGGATTGATCAACCATGCAACACACAAAAAAATTTCACTCAGACCAAAAATATCAACTTCAATAAACAATGGAAGACTTTTTTTTTCATGGAAATAGCCATTTTGATTTTCCTTTTATAACCAATGCTAAACTCCTTAATGTCCTTGGTGTTATCAAGATAATAGGAGAAGTTTAAATGGAACAGCAATAGATACAAGAAACTGCTTGATTAGGAATGGAAGTCAAAATGGTTTTTCTCTTTCCCTTAAAAAAGATAGATATATCATTATTGGTGGAACAGTAGTACCAAAATCAAAATCAACAACTACTGTTGTTGGAGAAAACACGAAATCATTCAGAGTACAAAGAAGATAATTAAAATGTGTTTCTATTGATGTTAAACCTTCAGCAGATTCAAGAGAAAAGCAAGCCCAACAGAAGGAAGGAAAATATTGTCAGCTGTCACTGGAATATGGATAGTAATGGTGATGCTATAGTATATTCATCTTCCTTCTAGTGTAAAGGGAAAAAGCTTCTCAACTTTAGTGCAAGAGAAATTACTTATAGTAATTATGTATATGGGAATTTTTCCAACAAGATAAAGGTAATCTTCATAAAGGTTTAAATTCAGACTGTCATACGTTTTTCGTTTACAAAGACACTCTTATGACAGAAGAACAAATCAAGGCACACCACCACTTTTTCATAGGGAGGTACAACATTGATGCAGATCCTTTGGTATGAAATCACAAAGTATGCTTGCAGGTGCAAAGACTAGAATTTCACAGGTGATGTGAAATTCAAGCCTAATGATGTGTGATGGAGCAAAGGCATGAAATCTTCACACAACAATCAACAGCCTGATGGCGCAACAAGAGGATCACTCAAGATAATATTTTTCACACCCTCTTCAGAACTCAGGAGTGAGACATTGTGAACATTATTCACCTATAAAAAATTCAAGTTGCCTTGAAATCAATGTTGTCTCCAAAATGTGGAATTGTTTTTTGAAATCATGGTTGATTTCAAGGTTGACTTGAAATCAAGGTTAAATTTCAAAAGTTGCTTTAAAAATCAAGGTTGTTTTCAAGATGTGCCAGTACCCACTTTTTCCAGCTAGTGGGATTTTGGAGGGATCAATAGACTTATTGATAAGAAATACAATTTATAAAGTCGCTTAGTAATAACCCTGGAAGAAATCTAGTTTGGAGGTCCAAATATGGAGCCTCCAAGTTGTATTTATCTTTTGAAAGGTTAGTCCTTATGTAAGTATGAAGCAGGGAATTTTATCAAATTAACAAAAAAAGACCTAACTACTCTCAATTAGTAATGTTCATACTTTGAATGCTGATACCTGGATATAGCTCAGGATGTTTTTTTTTGTGACAAGTGAATGCCCACCATCCAAACATACTTCCAATCTCATTTCCAGTGAATACCTTCCACTGACCACTTCAATGTTAAAACACACAAAGAAAAAGACTTGGTCAGAAATGTGAATGCACCAAAATTAAATCTGAACATAATCATAGCTAATCAGCTGGCCTACCACTATTCCTTTTTTCTCTAAAAATAACAACATTGATAACAATTATAATGTATGATAATTTGACAATGATAAAACATAAAAACTAAATTTAAAAAACAAGCAAAGGATTGTCTTTGGGACTATGCCTTTGTTTTAGACTAGTAAGAGGTTAGATGGAAATCTCTTTTTTCTGTAGTTAAATAATGTCTATGACCACAATGAATAGAACTTAAAAGGTTCTTTCCGAAAATGTGTATATGTAATTTCTCTGGAAATTCCTGTCATTGGTAGAGATGAATCTCTTCATCTGGCACAAAATGAAAGCTGAATGCTTATACATTTTCAATGTTGAAAATAATTATAACGGTCTGAATTTAAATTGCAGCTTCATGAATGTGGCAAGTGTAGTCTAAATTAGGAAACGACATCAACATAGAAGGAAGAAACAAGATAGGCAGAAACAAGATAGGAACAACTGTAAACTGGTAACTGTCTCTTTTTTGATTCAGTGTACACAGCTAATGTGAATCAATTGTGATGTGTCTAATTGTGAATATGTTACTTACGTTGGCTGTTTCTCTGCAAGAGCCATTCTATCAGAGTCAGGATCATTTGCCAGAATAATGGAACAGCCATTCTCATTAGCAGTATTCATTGCAAGGTCCTTAGTGCAAAATTGAAAAAGCTTATAAACAGTGATTCAAAATCTTATGACTACTTTATTCTATAACATTGTTTATTTCATCATATTTTTAAAGCAGCTTGTGTGTGCATTGTTGCTCGAAGTCTCCATATTCTAAACAGTTCTTCCTCCTTATTCTGAGAAGCTATATTTAGACTACTCAAAAACCAACTTTTATTCTCTGCAGTCACAAGATTTTTATTGATAGTAGACTCATCTTTTCACTCACTAAGGCACTCTTTCCTTCCTCAGGGTTAGGATATTTTACAGTTGGAAATTCAGGATCTGGATCCATCTTTAGAAAAAATCATAAAGCATTATGATGCATTAAATAATTTGCTAATAAACAATTGGTTGGTATATGTTATTTGACCAAAATTTTTTCAACTTTGCATGAAAATGAATCTTGATATGCTGATTGTGGGAGAAAGGGAGAAAGGGAGAATTACCAGGTTAGTTATCAGAATATACCTGTTCTCTCACAGATACAAAAGGAGGTAGGTTGAATGCCTCAAATGCCAGCTCAGCAAACCTCTGTCCAACACCATGCATAGGAGTGAAAGTGTATTTCAGCCGGGTTTTTCTGTTGTCTTCACTAAAGAGTCAACCATATGATAGCTTTTAACCATCATGTGACCTGATTCATGCTGCCACGCTACATTAATAGTCACTTATTCTTTATTTTATGTGGTGTCATAGGCAGCTACCAAATACAATCACAAAAAGGATCATAAAATTCACCTTAATAGGTCAAAACTCTCAAAAGTTAACAGTTAGGTGTAATGGGTTTTCTGTTTTGAAAAATTAATAACTGTAATTAAACTTATTCCATTTTTGGGTTGAAAGAAGTCCATAAGAGTCAACAAACCTCAGTATCAATTTTTACGACCTAAAATTGAATCTAAAAACTTACTAAATATATTTTTAAACAGAGGAATACAGGGAAAAGTATCCCTGTGCAAAAATTGAGAAAGAAAAAATGTCACAATTACCTGTAATGGCAATACTTTTTTATGTCTTCAAAGTAAGATGCACATATCTCCTCATAAGGGTCTTTAATAAGTGGATTGACTAGACTGATTTCCCAGGAGTTTTCCCAAGGAATTCTGTTTTCAGCAATACACTGGGAAATACCCTTGTCATGAGGGGATTTGATCTGAGAACAAAAAGGAAAAAAAGAAAAAAGATCAATTCTCTCTTTACTTATACCATCAGTTGCATATGTACAGATGTCTCCAACTTACAAAAAATTAAGTAAAGAGTGACTTTGTGAAAAAACCACAACAAACTCCGAAAACAAATGAGTATGAGAACATAGCAAGTTTAAGGCATATATTAAAGACTGTCACTGTGGAATCAATTAAAACATGGAAACATCTTAAAGCTATCAAACAATGAATAATGATTGATTATTGTATCAAAGGTCTGAAAGCTAATGGCGGTAAAAGATCATACCTGAGCTCCATTATCCAAATAGACCTGAAAAACAAAATCCCTATCAGTCCCGAGGTTCCATGAGGGGCACCTTAAATGTAGAGGCAAAGACTGCTGCCTAGGAAATACTATAATTATAATAATTCTTTTGTTAACTAACTGCTATTTAGTGGCAAGATGGGAGATTAAATTTTCTCATATGGGGAGTGGCAAAGCAAAGAATCCCATACAGGTATAGGTTTCCCCTCAACGCTGCCATTTTATAGTGGAATTGGTATCTCAAACTTGCAATTAGTTTTTTTAAATTGATATCCAGTCTTTATGAGCACAAAGTAAAAGTAGAAACATATCAGTTAGTGCCTGATCAAAATTTAATTTCTATCTTTCTGCAAAAGTTATCCAGGAAATACATGCATATGCAGTGCCTCAAGAATTCTTGAGGAAATTAGAAAGTCAATGATCAGCCCTTTGCAGTAAAAGCAAAAGGCTGCATCTCCACATTTCATTTTGGTTTATTAAATTTGTAGCAACCCTGCAGAATTTCAAAGCCAACTGAGCAACCCATTTCAGCACTGTAATGTCAATTTCAGATTAAATTTTTAGCCAACCAGAGCCTGAAAAAGTGGCACAACAATACCATGATAACTGGCAACTCTCTTGTCATCAAAAATATGCACATACTTAAGCAATAACATACTTTTCCTGCTGGTTTACTGGTATAATAACCCACACAGGATGTTTGTAGGATGCAAGAAAACAATTGTAAACCACAATTTTTTTGGATTTTTGAGGAAAAAAATTTAAGCAGATTTTTCCTCAATAGCATTATGCAACATGATTGATAATTGCCAACTTGCCATCACGCATCTCAGTGGCTACTTTAAGCCCTCTTTAAATCTGTACATGTATGCATGTCTGTGGAATATGAATTACCGTATTTATCTACATATAAGTCGAACCCGTGTATAAGTCAACCTCCCATTTTCAAGGTAAAAAATCGGATTTTTCATCATTTCCAGTTAAAGAAAAATTCAGACCGATAGAAAGATCCCAAATTTTTGATCTATTATTTCTGACAATGTATTGAAAACATGGTGAATTTAAAAGTGAAGTTTAGTAGAACTTGTTTATATCACCACGATTCATGATTTAAGCATATACAAGCACTTCGATTTACTAGAGAAGTAATTTACCATATTTTGTAAATTGCTTTGAAAATTGAAATCTTCATGCATTTAAATAACCTTTTGAGAGGAAATTTAGCAGACCAAAGAAACACAGAAGAGCTTTGAAGGATTGCTTGATGAAAACACCACCATCTTGGAAACTACAAATTTGAGGAGCACTGGTAATTAATAATAATAATTTATTGACTTCTAAGGCGCAAATTCTATGTATATATATTCAAATGCGCCCTAACATAATAATTACAATAAATATAAAAGATAAAATAAAAATAATAATAATAATGATAATTGGAATACAAAATAACAATTAAATACGATTCATAATAAATAAGATATATAACATATAACTAATAACTAATTATTACTTGAAATGTTCTATTTAAACTTTATCAATGAATAAATAACTATGAAAACTTTATCAATTATAAAATGCTTTCTTAAAAAGAAATGTCTTAAGCTTTGATTTAAAACTATTAATAGAACTAGATTCTCGTATATCCCTTGGTAAATTATTCCATAGCTTAGGTGCCGTAAACATAAATGCCTGGTCACCAAGTGATGCCTCAAACTTAAAACTAGGACAACTGAGTAAGGTCTTATCCCTGGAATTCCTTAAATTATATCTTGACTTGGGCTTGTGTGTAATTAGAGAACTTAAATAAAACAGTGCAAAACCCTTAAAAATCTTGAAAACAATTAATACAATCTTAAATTCAATTCTTAACTTAATAGGTAACCAGTGCAACTCCATCAATAGAGGATTAATGTGACAATATTTACTTTCATTGCATATTAGTCTAGCACACATGTGTTGAACATGTTGCAATTTTTTTATTTGATATTCCGGGACACTATACAATAAACTGTTGCAATAGTCAATTCTGCCTGAGATAAAGGCATGGACCAGAGTTTTTGTGTTCTCTTAAGACAGGTATTTTCTTATCCACCTCAGATTGTACAAGTATTAAGAGGCAGAGTTGCGTGTTCTTGTAATGTGAGTTGCCATTGTGAGTTTTGCATCAAACCATGAGCCCAAGTTCCTCGCAGATGACAAGGGAGTAATTGCTGAGTTGCCAACACAGAGACTGGAAATAGTTACTTTAGCAAGTTGCTGGGATGTACCAATGATCAGAAACTCAGTTGTGTTGTCGTTCAGTTAATCATTCAACATCCAATTACAAATATCATCAATACAGCTTTCCTTTCTAGCCAAAGCAACATCTTGGTTAACACTGGCATTGGGGCAGAAGGACAAATAAAGTTGGCTGTCATCTGCATAACAATGAATGCTAGGCAGATGTTTGTCAAAGATTTGAAAAATCTTGCTTGCATACAATACAAACAATAATGAACTGAGGCATAAGCCCTGAGGGACACCACAAGACAGTTCAAAGTTCATAGAGAGGGAACCATCAATAAGTATTTGCTGGGATCTGTTACTTAGATAAGATGCAAACCATGACAGTGCTGTACCATGAATCCCAAACCCAGATTTAAGTCTCCCCAGTAAAATACAATGGTCAATGGTGTCAAATGCTGCACTCAAGTCTAACAAAACAAGCAGTGTGACATGCTGTTTATTACTAATTTAATAGAATTTCATTTTTCACTTTCAAGAGTGCGGTTTCAGTTCTGTGAAACTTTCTGTATGAAGACTGTAACACTAGAAATAAATCATTCGTTACCAAGTGATGATGGAGTTGTTTAGCAACTGCACTTTCAGAAAGTTTGGACACAAACTGTAAATTACTGAAAGGCCTATAATTTTTAAATATAGGTTCCAAACCATCTTTCTTGAGCAAAGGCAGAACCAAAGCATTTTTCCATGCAGAGGGAAAGTCACTGTTTTCTAAGGAGTAATTGATCATCTTAGTGATGATTGGAAGGAGAACATATATTTGTAAACAGTCCAACAATAGCTTCGTGGGAATTGGATCTAAGCCACAAGACTTCTTACTGGATGTTCGAACCAGGTCATGCACTTCTTCTTGAGACAGAGAACTAAACTTGAAGAGTAGAGAATCAATTTCAATGTCATTAGAATCGCGCTCTGTGGAAGCTTGTTGTTTATCATGATTATCAAGGTCTAAATGAATATCGGCGATTTTCTTAATGAAAAACATACCCATCTCATTAGCTAATTTCTGTTTGTCTTCATGCAGTGGCAAAACTGGGCTACCTGTGATGTTCAAGAGTTTCTTGCTTACTTTGAACAGATGTTTTTGATCGTGGTTATTTTCTGCTATGATAGTACTATAATAGACCCGCCTAGCCTCATTCATAAGAAAAGTCTTACTCTTAAAAACAGCTAGATCAGACTGACATTTGGAAGATCTCCATTTTCTCTCTGCTTTTCGACGTTGACGCTTAGCTTCTATGATATTTCTACTCATCCAAGGAGCACTTGGACAAGCCAACACTCTTTTCGATGTCATCGGTGCATGATGATCCAAAATGGAGTGCATACAGTTGTTATACAGCTCCGCAACTTCATTACAATCCTTTGAAGCAATGTTGCACAAATCACTACTAGCAATATCTTTTTTAAAAGCAACTAAATCCAGGGACTTGAGCTTCCTGAAACTGATGTGTTTAACAGTAGCCAGTACTTTTCTAACATTAAGACAGCACAAAACAGAGCAGTGATCGGAAAGGAAGCTATCCGGGGAAGGTGTACCTTTAATGATATTGTCAGAGCTGCAACTAATAATCAGATCCAAAATATGTCCCATTACGTAGATCCGCAAACCCAATGGTATCTGCATCATCACTGACATCAAGATGAACATTGAAGTCACCAGATATGTAAATTGGCACTTTAGATAGTACCAATGATTCCAGGTATTCACTAAATTCAGGAAAAAAAGTACTTGAAGTAATAGGGTGAGCAGCAGAATACGGTGGTCTGTACACAATCACAAGTCTAAGCTGTAAAGATAAACCATCAATCATATCTTCAGAAAACTCAAAAGAAGTCTTTCACTGGTGGACAGTCAACATACGTTGAGACTCTGTCTACATAAAAGTGCAGTACCACCCCCTCTATGACAGCATTATTCTGGGTTAACCATGTTTCAGTAATAGCAAAAATATCAGCTTTGCAATCTTGAACATAATCACATAAGGATGCAGATTTATTTCTCAGAGAACAAGCGTTCAACAAACAAAAGGACAGATTAGAAGAACAATGATTAACTTGATTAGTGACGGGATCAGGATTCAACTTGAAAAAGAATGTCACCAATCAACAGGCGGAATGTTGCATACACATTAGAATAATACAAACAAGGTCTTTTAGATCGTCTGTTTACCAGAACTGGATGGACAATACGCTGGTACTTCACTGACGAAGACAACAATGTGTTTCCAAATTCCACATGGTGAATCAGTGGACCACGTCTCCACAGTATGCTAATTTCAGAAGTTTCATTGAAGCACAGACATGATGAGGAGAAAAAAGTCATCTCAAGAGCCAGAGAATGACTTTCCTTCAGATACAGATGCCAGAAATGTTTGGGCCGGATGTTAGCAGAACTCCTCCACTTACATTTATAAGTAAGCAAGCTCCCTGAAGTCAGAAAGCACACCAATATTATGGGAGCAAAAAACACGTCTGACCTCCACAGGTCCCATGAAAACAATGAAGACACCATCAAAGTGAAAACCCACTCAATTCACTATTCTCAAGGCCGTAGAAAAGATGAGATTGTCTGGGAAGAAGTTCCACCATGCAATTGCTCTCTTATTGAGATGGTCATCGCTGACAGTTGTTATGCAAAACTGGTAACTAAGCTACTGCGATCATTTGATGAAAACGAGAGTTCAGTACCGTAAACAGCAGCAAAGCTGTAAGGAAAAATGTCTGCTCTACAGATCAGAAGATACAACAGAAATCAGCTCTAATATGTTTCTGTTTAAGCCGCGTAAAATTTATTATTTCAAACTTTTTCGTCCATGAAGAACATGCTGAAAACTGACAAAACTCGAACACAATTAGAACTGATTTTGTAAACTCGGTTTTTCTTACAGACTTCAGGCAGTTGTTATGCTAATTTCTTGGATTGCTTAGGTCATGTCTTGTGTATAAGTCGAGGGTGATTTTTTGGGCTGATTTTTCAGTCATAAAAGGTCAACTCATACATGGATAAATACAGTAGTTATTGTTAAATATCCCTTGTGTCTTGAAGTGATCGTAGACAATGCTGAGAGCTGCACCTATCAGGTGGTAAGTAGCATAACTCTCATACCTTATAACCATTATCATCTTTGGGGTTGTGTGAAGCTGTTATCATAACTCCACAAACACATCTATATTTCAAAACTCCATAGGGCTGTAGCACAAAATGAAAGAAAAAAAAACTGTTAAATTTAGCATGCATACATATTGTAGTTAAGTGCAGACCAATGAGTACAAGCTTTGATCATACATAACAGAGTTAACACCCACTGATAGCAACTGTGATAACAATTAATCACAAACATCTTAATACAACCACAGCGTTTATTTTCAAGTAAATGTACATGTACTCACAACAAATGGAGTGGGCGTAATACTTGAAAAAATATACACTGGGACTCCTTGGCTGGCAAATACACAGCTTGTTCTTTGGGCAAGGCTAAAATAAGATGAATATCAAATCATCATGTAAAATTGATTTAATTCAATCTTGCTATAATTGAAAAAAAGACTGTTTGAGTAAAAAACATTAAAAAAAAAAAACATACTTACAATTACCTGATCAGACCATTAAAATTGAACCACTTACCGTTTACTGTTATGCCGTGCATCAAATCCAATAATGACTCCCCTTTCTTTGATATCTGGAAACTGCTTTTCTAAATACCTACAAAGACCCTTTAAGGACAAAATGTAAATATGAAATGCACATACAAAGTTAGCTATATAAATACAAAGGTTTTTCAACTATCATACTCAGATGAGAACAACATAACATCAAGGGTCTAAAGCATTGGCATGTTTTCTTTTGTTTTGTACCCTTTGGATTCTGCTGTTACATATAATAAATTCAACATAGTTTCCACTTTGGCTAAATCTATACAGATGACAGGAGAACTGTTGAAACATGTCCAAAGAAATAAACATTTTCCCACATTTCTTAAAATTTCAACATGCCTGCTGCTCTCCAGACCTAGGGGAGATATGTATTTCAATAAGGCAAAACTGCTTTAACTTACTTGAGTAGCTTGTATGATTGTCAAATCATTTATTCTATTAAAACCTGCTCCCATTTTTGATCGCAAACCTACAAACAAAGATGTAATTTTGATTTAAAAGGGCGAATCTCGTGTTAACAAGACATTGAAATACATGTACACCATGCTAGCACAGGCTGTGGCAGAAAACAAGCATTGACGCCTTAGAGGACAAAGCAAGTATTTCTTTTATGAGCTGCAATGTATTTTATCCCTGCTAATTAATACTAAACCCTGAAAAAATTATTATTCTCACTCCTGGCCCAGCCCTTCAAGGATATTTGACCAGATATACAAAAAAACAAGTTGTAGTCTGATTTGTTTATAAAAGAACAAATATTGAGTAAATGATAAGAGTTGATAAAGACAATCTGTTATTAGTTAGAACAAACATCATACGGTTGTAAGTTAACCATCCCTATATCTGCTCCCAAACAGCTAGAGGAAGTCAAGACACTGATTTTCAGAGATAATTATCCCAATTTAACCATAAGATCTTTCTGCAGATGCATAGTCACCTTAGTGGAGGTTCAATTTCTCCCATTAGTATGCCTTACGTTGAAAAGAGGCTCCAAGTAACTAGCCCCTCTAACATCTCTTCTTTGTAAACTAGGTGTGCAAGTAAAAGTGAAAAAAAGTGAAAAGTGAAAAAATGATGAACCAACAGGAGCCAAATTTAATTAGAAAACCTAGAGTGTAACATACAGACAGCTGTACATCATACATTGTTGTAGGTTCTTAATTAGGAGAACATGACCAAAAATATTATTAATGATTACCTGCAGTGCCAAAAGATAATGGTGACATCATTATTTGTCTCAGTTCATCAAACTTCATCTCTTTTATGAGTAGTCTAACTTCTGCAATGCTGGCTGGATGCTGGAAGGTAAAAAACAATTTATCTTTAAGTTTACAACCCTAGTCATAGATGAAACTGATGAAACACTCCTCGATTTCCTTCTTATAAGATAGGTAAAGATAATTGTGCAAAGGTGAAGTCAGTATGGTATCTACTATTTGTGACAACAAGAATGAGAATATTGGGCATTCCAGTTGTAGAAAGACCAATTATAAGGAACAAAATAAAGTAAAAGATGTAAAAATTTAGCAGCATAATCAAGCATGTATCTCCAGTGTACTTGGCCTGAACATGTCAAATGTTGACAATCTTTACACTCACCTAAGTTGAATTGGTTTGTTAATTAATTAATCAAAAGCACCAAGAAGATACTTTCCAATTTGAGCCATTGGAAATCAATGATCCAAGAATCAGAAGCTTTCCTTAAGGCTGAGCCTGGATCAATTTCTCCTAAAGAGTCTTTCATCTTACATTTTAGAAATTACCAATTTACGTATGATACATGAGATTAATGAGCAAAAAGTGAGCCTAATACTTAATTTAAATCACTTGTCAGTTTCCATGTTTGACTCTTGTGTTCATTCCCCTGCATACTACAAATGGTTTGAGCATGTGGGTAACATGCGATAGTGTCATCTGATTGTCTGGGTGAGTATAGTTCTGAGAGAGATTGTTGTCTAAAGTAGTGACTAACATTTTGACAACCTAACTGCAAGTCATAACTTGACTCAATTGAATAGCTGATATCAATTGAAAGTACTAAGTGTGGTTCATGTAAACTTGTCAGTCACTTCAGCCATGATGTTTGCCATACATTTGACGGACAACAACTATTTACTTGACTCTGATAATGACTTCCAATCAGGATGCTAAAACATCAGTCACCACTGCCAACAACAGTCTTTCTCAGGACTACACTCACCCAGACCATCATTCTACACTATCACATACCCCTGTATGTTAGTTTTAACATTTTCTAAGTAATATCAGTAACTGCAATAATTATTTCCTGTACATGCACCTACAGCAGGACTACAGTAAATACACCATTGTTTGGTGAAGCCGTGGTTCTTAAAAAGATCTATTTTTTTCACACTTGTTGCTTATGTTCTGTTTGTATGGTGCCACTCCCCTAAATTGTAACACCTCCAAGTGTAAAGCCTAAAAAAGTATGTAATTATCAGAATTACACAGCACATATTTTCATGTTTCTCCAAACTTTCACATACAACATTCTCTACATAAATTGAGAAAGTAACATATGTCAAGTGCTCGTAACAGTGCAGTACATCTCAGACCTTCAGATTCCACACCATAATGCTCTACCACTGAGCTACAGACACTCTATGGCGAGCAAGGCCTGATACAAATAGGAATTTCTAATGGGCCTTGCTCACCATGGAGTCTCTGTGGCCTAGTGGTAGAGCATCAGAGCACGGAATCTAAAGGTCTGAGGTTCAATTCCTCATTGGGACTCATGAGGTGATTTTTGTGATGAGCCAAAAAAAATCTTCCTCTATTTCTCTACCGACCTTAAAACTTATCTTATTCTTATTCTATTTACAAAACATCATGATATCGACACTGCTGATCCCAGAAGTATTCAGGATGCATGTCATATATGAACTTCAGAATGGGCCTTGCTCACCATAGATTCCCTGTGGCTCAGTGGTAGAGCATCAGAGTGTGGAATCCAAAGGTCTGAGGTTCAATTCCTCATAAGGACTCAGAATTTTTTCTTTGTCCCACACCCATAACAAGAAAAAAAAATCTTTCTCTAAGTCCTGTTTTGCTGTGCAGTGCAAAAAGAAAAATAAACAAAGTTTGCAAATCAAGATTCTGCAGGAAAGCCTGCCTGAGATGTCAACACTCTGCTTGAGGCCTTTCCAGTTATAACACCTTTTGCTCTTCAGGTACAGGTTCCCCCTAAAACATTCTTTCAGCCTTACTATGCATTCCTTTTCAGATTGTACAACTTTTTTTCCCACAAATTAAACTTAACTGCTTCCTCTAACTAAAGGAAAAAAAGGGAAATTTTCAAAATTTTAGCCAGATTTTGTTGACAGTCACCTTAAATGGTCCAAGGTTGATGATAATATATCAAAATCTTTTATAGCAACAACTTAAAGCAAGCCTTAATTCTATGACATCTGGCTAAAAAACAGTCCTTTCCCTTCATATGCATTTTAAAAGTAATTCCATAGAACATGCACAAACAACCCTTTTGACTATATTGGCAAGTACAAAATGCATACTTGGTAAGAAGACTGTAGACTGTTGTGCCTTGATATCAATCCTTGAGATATTGCATGAATCTCCCAAAACAAATGCCAGCCAACCTTAGTTCAAAGACGAACTGAGCAGCCAGCAGCTAGGTAAGTTACATTAAATCAAACCAAGTGCTTTCTTTTTTTGAGCCACCAAACTTTTTTGAAATTTTAAGATGTTAAATAGTAACTTTGAAAAAAAAGTTAATCTTGGATTATCTTATATCCCAGTTATCTAAATATACCACTTCTGTGGCATCTTACTCCTACCAGCCCTGGCTTGTCTTTTCCTAATCATATATGTCACCCACAGTGAGTGTTAAATGCAGGTATTCAAATTGGTCTTATGACAACTTTTCTTAAATAGCCATCTCGTGCTAACGGTAAAAACACAGCAAATACTAGGCTTGACACAGTGGTTAGGAACAAGTCTGACCAGACTTAAAAAAGTTCACTTCCAAAAATAAGCCAAAAAATTCCAAAATAACCTGAATTGTCATGGAAGATGACCTTGAACAAAGAACTGCAAAGTCTTCAAAAGTCAATTATTAAGGGGGGTATCACCTACCATTCGGTAAGGGCAACCCCCAGGCAACCCACAGACCCACAGAAATTCAAGGGGATTTGTTGGAAGACTTTGCCCAAGAAGTCTGGGAGATTAGAGTGCTCTTGAGTCCCTACCTGGGGACTTACCCACAGGATTTGCTAAGAAGTACCTTTACCCTTCACTATTTTTATCGAGTCAAAAAATATCAAAAGAGAAATTAGGGAAGATTCGTGTATGACCCCATCCTCTCATGAAAAAAAAGCATTAGTCCCACAAGCCAATTTATAATCAGTTAACTGTAGGCATAATGAAGTATGGGTCACAAGCAGATCTTCCCAAAAATTCGACCGGTTAGAGAAATTACCACTACGAGCGGGGGAAAGGCTGTTTCAACAAAACTTAACGAAGGCAGCAGTTTCCAAAAATGGGGGCCTAAAAAGCAGTGATACTACTAAAGGCATGTCGCTGTATAATGCTGAAAGAAAGGCGAGCCTTTTATATGCATTACAAGACACTTACCTTGTCTAAAATTAACCATTCTTTTACCTTCTCGTCTAGATTATCTTCACCTGAATTGACCTGGAATGCACCGTAGTCATCACTATCGATCTCTCTACTGAGCTCCGCCGCCAACTCCGCCATTTTACAAATTGAGCCGTATGTGTAATGTAGCGTTTTGCGCTCAGAGCCAAGTAGTCCTTCGTATAAGCTACATACTGTGTACTATATAGTGACTCCTTTACCGCTGGGCAACCCCTTTTAAAAAGTAAGCAGTTTTAGACTGCATATGGCCACTAAAATGCACAATCAGTTCTAGCAGTGAAAAGAACAAGAGTTTGTAAAATGAGGTTAGAATGTGGTGTTCTATAGGATTTGTCTCTATTCAAAAAACTTGTCACATTCCACAAATTCAGGGGTACCGTACCCTGTTTCACAAGAGAAAGATGATTCAAGAATAGAGTGACTGACACTCAACCAATAATTAAATGGTAAAATAAAATCATAGTAACAACAATAATAATGACAACATAAATAGTAGTAATGATAATTTGCAGTGGCTGGCTCAAGACAGGTCTGACAGTCAGAAATTTTCACAGAATTTCCGCTGAAAGGTTCCTCCAAACTTCTTAACAATATCAGAATTTTGTTTAGAAGTGTCAAGCGATTCCAAAAATTTTTTTTTGACAGATTCAACAATATCACTCAGTTGTCGACACTCAGAAATTCAGACTGCCGAGTGCGAATAGACCAAATGACCGGTAGTTCGAAGTTTTCATCAAACTGACAATGAAACCTCCACACAAAACCTATTGAGAACATTCGATGTTAGTTTAGAAATGCCAAGAGATTCCGAGAATTGCGTTGGTTTTAGTCAGTGGTCAAGCTTGAACGTACCCTACTAAAACACGTAAAACAAGTATTAAAGCCTAGGAGGTCACGTTCGTTTCGCAGATGTTGCCTTCGAGAACTCTGTGGCCACAGGCAGCCCAAGCTCCAGCTGTGAGACGATCATCTTGCGCAATAACATGTTTTTTTTATTTTTCATGAACAAATTTTCCGAGGTTATCGAACCTCAAATCGCTTGGTTGTCGACGCTTCAACAGACAGCAGAGCACGATCTCAAACAGGCCAGATACCCGACAATCAGAAATATCCACCGAATTTCGAGAAACTTTTTTCACAGAGTATAGATTTAAAAAGATTGTTAGGTTTTAAATGTCAAGGAGGGTCAAATTGTGTGTAAATTTAAATGTATGTTTCGAAGTTGTGAGAGTCCTCGTTTGCTTGCTGGCGTGTGTAAATCTTACTGTTCCTCCCCGAAAACTGAAAGTCCGATAATCGGCTTTTGCTAGCCAGACACAAGGGGATTTGATGCGACTTTTAGTCATCGAATTACATAGGTTTCTTTTTTGTGAAATGTGCAGTAGAAATTTTCAAATTTATGTGACTAGCAAATAATCAACGAACGAAATCTTTTACATACTGCTTATAAATCTGCCTATAAATGCAGTCCAACCTGCAAAACAATATACATTCGAGAAGATTTGCAACGAACCCAAGAATGTACTGGTCGACTCAACCCCGCACGGATGGGATACTGCCCGCTTGAGCGGGCCAGATGGGAGAATACTACCCTCTAACGGAACCAATCAGATTTCAAGATTTGTAGAATACCGCCCGCTTACACATCGAGAGAAAAATAACTTGACATATCGACCGCTATACCGATCGAGTCGGTTAATATGTCGGTCTTTCAGTCGGTCGAGTGTCGATTGAGACTCGGTCGATATGTCGACCGACAGGTGATCGATATGCAGTGTCGGTGAAGTGTCGGTAGTCTCGCGGTCGGACGTCGGTGATCTTTCAGTCACGTTATCCATCGGTCAATCGTCGCTGCATAAGTGGTCAGGTAACGGTCGATGGTCGGTCTCTAGCTATTCACCGCCCATATTATTCTCGCGTAAAGCACATGACAATGCCCATCAGACTTAAATCTTAACTTTTCCCAATGACTAGTTTCCTTTTCCACAACAAAGTCGACGTCATACATGATCTGTAAGACTTTAGTTGTTAGAAAACCGTCCCAATAAATCTTCGCAGATCCATACAAATTTGCTTGTGACTGTTATAAGGATCCCACTGGGATTAACCGTCAGCTGTTAACCGGCTAAAAAAAATTTACCGATAGACGTAGATTGACAAATTTTAACAGTAAGACATCGAAAGAGTTCACGGTAGTTTTATTTATGATTTTTTTAATGGCAACGGAGAAAAATCAAACTTTAGCCGTAAAATGGCGAATCTCATTAGCCGTAAAGCCATCAACCCATTGAGACCTTCAGTTATCGGGGAAATCGTGTGGACAAGAAACCGGAAGAAAACCGGTCACAGCACTTAAAGACATTTTGAAACTTTCATTTACTTTTCCAATAATGCTATTCAGTTTTGCTGCAAAGTGGCTTGGCTGTCGCCGAGCTGGTGAGTTCAATGTTTGAGGGCAATTTTCTACAGGTGGTTTCCTTCACATGTGGAGCACATGTGGGACTTGGTTTTCTCGGAAACTTACGGCCAAAACGCTAACCTGATACCATACTACACCATTTACTGATCGGAAAATTGCATACATCTGCAACGGCCGAACGGCCTGTTTGTATTCTTTCCCACCTGTATTGAACGGCCACTTACAGCGAACCCACTCAAATGAAAGTAAGAATAACCTTTCAAGCAAAACTGAATCTATTGAATCTCCCGTAATCGATGTTAGTAGTAGCTCAGAGCGAGTTTTTGTTCATGAAGTGGTCAGTTATAGCAGGAAATGGCTTTTCGTCAACCCCGGATCTCAACTCCTGGAACAAATGAGGTAAGAATAGAAAAGTTCAGGTGGGACATAAGTTTAACCGCCAAAAGCAACCAGACGAGAAATATGTCGTAAGACTGTGCACTTTTCACGATCTGCTTTAAATTTTTCCAGTAAAAAGGAATGGTAAAATGCAGGAACTTGAACAATTGATTTGAGTACACATACTCTGTTCAAGATGCGATGAGTACGCAAGCAGAGAAGTGTGACCTCAGGAAAGTAGTCCTTTGGAGATTACGCAACATTGTACGGTGACTGGAGTAATAAAGCGAGGTAGGTTTCTCAAGACCAGCTGAATAATCCTTTAAAACTCATAAGAATTCTACAATTGTTCAACAGAACAAACTAAAGGAAACACAATGATCGCATGAATATTAAGATTTAGGGAATAGCCCTTGTTTTAAGGTTAATTCACAATGATCGATTCAGTCAATACCCGTGAATGCCGTAACTCCAGCGAAGTTAGCGACCTGTTGGATTTAGAAGCTCCAGCTAAGGATGGTACAAAAAACGCAAAGCGTTTTACAAGTGGCCAAGTACCTGATAGATTCAAGGTTGCCATGTTGAAACCATTGTTAAAAAAGAGTGGAGCTGATCGTGAACTATTTTCTAATTTTCGTCCTGTCTCGAATTTATATTTTTTGTCCAAAGTTACGGAGAAAGCAGTCGCAGCACAATTAATGGACCATCTTAACGATAATGACGGCTTCTTAGAAGAATTTCAGTCGGCATATAAATCTCATCACAGAACAGAGACTGCGCTTGTGAAATTTCAAAATGATATTTTGAAGGCTATTGACAATAATAGATCGGTTATTTCACTATTGCTTGATTTATCGGCTGCGTTTGATATTGTCGATCATTCGATTTTGCTATCAAGACTACAGAATCGTCTTGGTATTAGGAACATAGCTCTTAAGTGGTTTCATTCGTACCTTCGCTCACGCGAACAGTTTGTTTCTGTTGTTGGAATCGAATCGTCGAAGAAGCATTTGCCCTACGGACTACCACAGGGTTCTGTACTGGGACCCCTACTGTACTCTCTTTATACAAGTCCACTGGGTGACATAGCCAGGAAGCATAGCATACCGTTTCATCTCTATGCAGATGACACACAGTTATACTTGTCCTTTACATCCAATTGTCCGAATCATCTACCCAGCACAAAGATAGCAGTAGAACTATGTGTTAAGGACATTGGTGACTGGATGCTGCGCAACAAACTCAAGTTAAATCAGGATAAGACTGAACTTTTGGTTATTAGTTCTAAAAATCGTCCACGACCACCCCTCGACTATATACGAGTCGGCGAAGAAGTAATCAAGTTTGGTGAACAGGCCAGGAACTTAGGAGCTGGATTCGATCAATATTTAGATTTCAAAGAACACGTGAAAATAACCTGCGAGAGCGCATTTTTTCGCAATTGCACTATAGCTAAAATCAAGCGATACCTATCCCAGAGTACTACTGAGGCTAGTGTTCACGCTTACATAAAATTGTTTTTGGACTATTGTAATACCCTACGGTATGGTCTCCCAAAGTATCTGATTAATAGACTTCAGCTTTTACAGAACTCGGCAGCTCGCCTTGTTACCTTGACTAGAAGGCAGGAACATATCACACTAATACTAAGGAACTTAATTTGGCTGCCAGTTCATTATAGGATAATTTTTTAAAATATTATTGCTAACTTACAAAGCTCTGAATGGATTGACCCCAGATTACATTAAAGACCTATTGAAGTATAATGACTCTCGTCGCACACTAAAATCTTCAAACGACAGGTTGCTTGATGAGCCTAGAGCGAATCTTAAAACGTATGGTGAAAGGGCTTTTTCCGTGGCAGCACCAAGGCTCTGGAATAAACTACCACTCCAGATCAGGCTTTCATCATCAGAGACAGTTTTGAAGGCTTCTCTTAAGTCTTATCTTTTTAAGCGTTCATTTGATTCGTAGTTTTTACTTGTAGTTATAGTGTATTTAATTCTTGGGATTTTAATTTTTTACGGTTTTTAGAGTATTGCAGAGCGCCATGAATAATTAATGGAGGATGGTGCTATATAAATGTATTTAATTTTATTTTAATTTCTTTTTCACCCCACCAATATTCTTTGCAACAAAGGTCGCCATTTTTCTGTCCGTAGGTTGTGGTGTTGACCTTAAGTAGTTTTAGAATATCGTTCCCCTTCAGCTTGTAGTTAGTATTTGTAAAATCTAGTACTTTTTTATGCTCCTATGAGCATGATGGTAATTAATAGCTTTAAAAACCGTGCAAACTATCTCTTCGACTCTTTGATTGGTCAATAACAGTAGGCCTCTCTTACTGAATAATTCCAAATAGTGCCTTCGTTTTCATTAAAAACAAAACGGAGGGCGAGGTCATTGTTGATGGTTTCTTCGCTTTTGCGGACTCTTTGTCGGCATAAAATATCTGCGTGTCATCTGCTGTGTTTGATGACATGGACGAGATCTTTCATGAATATATGAAATAACAAAGGACCTAAGACGCTTCCTTGTGGAATTCCTGCTGAAATTCCTTGCCAGTTGAAGAACTGATCTCCTAGTCTAACTCGTTGATGTCGGTTAGTAATGAATCCCTAATGAGCTTGAAGGTATTGTTGTAAGTGCCGCAAGCCCTGAACCTTTCCACTATTAAGTCATGTAGCAGAGTTTCAAACGCCCTAGATAGGTCCACTGATGCAAGGGCGATAACATTGTGATTCTCCAACTCCTTTTTCTACTGCTCCGTGAGGCTGAGGGGGGCGGTGTCAGATCCATGGGATTTCCAATATGCAAGCACATATTCGTGGAAAATGTCTTTAAAATAAGGGCTGATTTTGAGTCGACTTAAGTTTTAAACACTTCAGAAAGGGACGGCAATATACTTAGGGGTCCGTAATTTGTTTTGTTGAGGCAACAGTCTTTTGAAAACAGGAGAGATTTCCCAGTTTCCATTTCTGAGGAATTCTTGAGCAATCTACGATAAAACTGAATAGTTTCACAAAGGGGTGACATAGGATCTCAGCAGATTCTTTGATTCCTCTCGGCAGGATTCGATCACAAAATATTTATTTCGAGTTTTTTCCACTCTTTTTGGTCCGTGCGCTCTGTTTGCTTTTTCGTGAGTTGATGTAACGTTTAATCGCACCCAGAAATTTCCTCTGTTCTGCATATTTTTCTTCACAAAGTCGTTTGAGATATCCTTGTATTGCCCGTCGTCTCATACTTACGACACTATTCCTCATCAGTGGGTAGTTTCCCCACCCAGTTTAGCAGGTTTCTAAATTTGTGGAGCCTTTTCCTCAGTCAATCACGCTCTCTCATATCGCTCTCACGAAGGGCTAACGCTCGAAACGTCAGCCTTTTAACTCTTTACCGTGGCTATTTACGTTTTCAACTCAGTTGTCAACACTAAATTACCTGCCACGCTCTCTCAAAGCTTTTCGAATATCAGTCGTAGTAAATTTCGAACCCATTAATGAACGCTTTTTCGGCGATATGACAGGTGCATGATCGTCTAAGACGTGATTTTTTCATGGTCTGGGTCTTTGAATAGATATGCAACAGAGAAGGGCACACTATTAAAGTTGCGGAGAAAGGCTTCCTGATCAAAGTTCTTAAAGTTTCGTTTAGAGAAACTTTCGGCTTTTGGACACATCAGTTTATTGTTATATACGGCAAAGACCAAGCTGTGATCGCTAAGACCTGTTTCTATGATACCTGAGTATCATGCTGCGGGACGTGTGTTAGGATGACGCTTTGTTTGTAGATATCCTGTTTGGGTTTGTGATGAGGCTGTAGAAGTCGTTAATATCTCACATGTCCAATGGGCATTTCATCTGCTTTTATTTTTAGATGAATTATGTCGCAATACAGATCACCAGTACAGATAACGTTCTCAGAAGACGCATGTGGCTTCTTTCAGTAGGGATGTCAATTCACTCGCAAATCATTGCTGTGTTTTCTACAGAGGGCGGTTGGTATGCGCTCATAAGCGCGAGCCTCTTGTCAAAAGATATCCATTCTAGTTTTTTTTCCATTTTTTCTTTCTTGCGAGATGAACTGATATTATCCTGAATATAGACCACGATGTCAACGCCGCCTTTAACCCTATCAAGGCGAATTAGATTATAGCCGTCGACGAGGAATTGGGTGTTTGGGAACGAACGAGCGATCGATCTTGATTTCTTGCACCGAAAGAAATGTCAAAAGGGCTGGAAACGAGCCATTCTTTTATCTCTGCAAATTTGTCTGCGTAGACTGTTGATGTTTAAGTTTGCGATAATACCTTGTTTTCTGTAGTCGTTTCTCAATTGTCTAATATCCATTTGAGTGTCGTCTTCAGCAAATAGATCATTTGTTGAATTGATGAAGGATCGAATCGAAGGAGGATCGCTAAAAATTCGACAAAGAGCACAGTGAACATGTCCATTCGATTTCTGGGTGCTGCAAATAATTCTTGAAGCTTGATTTAGAGAGCTGTAGGCATTTGGCATGTTACCAAACATTACAACGAGCACGTATTATGGCGTCTTGGTTATTTCCAAGAGTTCTTCTACATTCAGCACACGAATATTACTCCTTGTCCTCACCGGCCCGGAGTTTGGAGACATGTCACCACAAATGAGCAATTTCTCTTCGATGTAGAAAGTACTGATGCTGTTTGAAGTGTGCTGGATTTTAGCAAACAAGGATCGACTTGCACTCATGCTTTTACTATAAGGGATAGATTTTGGCTGATAATTTAACTGAGCCTCTGCTTCTGGAGTGGAACAGAGTTGAATCTCGAAAGCTACCGGGACAATAAAAGTTGCCGAGCACTTCATATTGAGGGAAAATATTGGGGAGATTCACAGGGCTCAAAGGTATGTCTGTCACCTCCGTTTGCTAATATGGACCCATTTTCTCGATCCAAATTCGGCGAAATTTCTGGCTTTAGCATGAAGGAAAACTCGTAGGTTTTACTGGCTGTTCTTATCAAAGAGTGAGCCCTTGTATCCCACGGTTCATGTGATTGGAAAAATCCAACGTCCAAAAAGTGCAACAAGCAAAGTATTAAATTAAAGTTCTGCAACGAGATTTGGTATTTGTGCATCCAATTTCTTGTCTCCTATCCAAGATAGTAAAGTGAATACAAGGTCATGCATGCATGTATTTTAAGTTAAAATAACTCAGTCATAAAAAGTCAGGAGTAGAAACATTGCTTAGGCAGAGCGCAAGAACCAGTTTGCTGCGTATGCTTTCCTGTCTTTTTCACGATTTTAATGAGAACGCGAGTTTATTCCAAAACAGTCTCCTTGTGCAAAACTTTCGTTCGAATTTCTGACTGTTTTCTTATGGGTTTCGGTAACGTCAACAAAAAATTATGAGGATGTAACCAAATTCGTAATTTTCTTGTCCAGGGTACTTTGTTTCAAGATCTTAACAGAGTCTTGTTCATTCCCCTTTATAAGTGTCACTGTTATCGTTATTGTTATTCTGAGATGGCCAAATAATAGTGTTGTTGCGAATGATTAATTTAACGGGGATTTTTACCATAGGAAATATAGATCTTCACTGACAATTGAAACGTCGGAAATTATCGCCAGTGGCTATAAAATGGGGTTTTTGGCACTTTCTGAAATCAACCTTGATTTCAAAGGCAACTCATGAAGTTAACCTTGAAATTAGGGTTGGCTCTGGTTATCATATACTGTCAGGGCTTCAGTATATGATAACGTAGGAAAAATAATTTGAAGGGCGCGCTTTTACACTTTTTCGATGGAATCTGACAAATAAAGCGGCAAGTTTGAAAACACAACGCACGTGCATTCTAATATTGATCTTACAAGAGATGTGTAAACCAGAATAATATCTGAAGCTGGAACACCGCAGAGCCTGAGCGACCTGAGCGCGAACAGTCTTCACCATAAAGTCACAATGTAGAGTATAATACCTGACGGGACTCTCGAGAACGTGAACCCTTCCATTATCTTTGCGATATGGCAGGTGAGCGATATCGGCCTCAGGTCGTTCGCGATTGACTGTGGAGGCTACTGTTTAGGCAAAGGGCGAACAATTGCGCTCTTCAGGAGACCGGGCATGAATCTCTCTCTCAGCGATGTGTTATACAAGGCCACGCTCGAAAGCAAAGGTCTTCAATATGCGGTTTGAGATCCCATCTGGCCCGCACCCTTTATTGCACTTTGAGGCACCAAGTGCCCTGTACGCCTCATATGATGAAACAAGTGATTCGGGAGGTATATCAGGGACGTCAATCGCAGCTTCATGAATATATCTTTGAGTTGGATAAAGTTTCATGTTTTTTCAGTATGGAGAAAACATGAAATTACATGAGTATTCTGGTATTGATTCTGTTCTTGTGCCGCCAATAATAAGATCTCCATCTTTTTAAAGAGAAATGAAAAGTCTTGTAGTAATCTATTTCCTATTAAGCAGTTTCTTGTGTATATTTCATTGCTCCATTTTTACTCATCTTGATTGCACTAAACACACTGAAGTTACAAGGATTGTAAAAAGGAAGATCAAAATTGCCTATTTTCATGGCAAAAGAAAAATTGTCTTCCCTTGTGTGGTGAAGTTGATATTCTTGGTCTGATTGAAATTTAATTTTTTTGTGTTACGTGGTAGTTCGATCCTGATTGATCGAAAGCAGTTAACACTGACGTTATTATAATAGCATACTTCATTGTTTGAGTTGTGGTCTATGTGATACCAGCAGGTTGCTTTTTCTTTGATTAATGTCTCAATGAAGAGACTTCTGCGGTATATTTTGACCAAAAAAAGATAAATCGATTGTTTCTGGTTATTTTTTGTTTTTTCTACACACTGTTTGTTTGCTGCGTCTTCTTTGTCAGTTGGATTGGCAAGATAAGCGATCTTTTTATTGTTCATGTCTTTATCTGTTTCCTGGGTTGATTTACCGGAATTACTTGGGTTTATTGAGAAACTCACTTTTTTAATAGATTTTTTTTTAATCAACGAATTCCTCCAGGAGGAAACTCTACCCCAGGAGCTGACGATCTGAAGCTCTCCTTGAAGGAATTCACGCTTTGGACCATCTTTCAGATAGTAGATAACTAGTTCTCCTTCATTCACCAATGTTCTCTCGATACCATAGACCTTCAGAGACCAAACGGAATCAGTGTCTCGCCTTTGACCACCTTGTAACTCACCAGCGGAAAAGAGATATCTCGCATTCTTTGAAGCATTTAGTCTCTTTTCCTTCAGGGCAACTGGTCTTGAATAAATCGTAGAACTCTTCACGTCAATTATCTTCTCTTTGATTGCGTCAACAGGTTTCTTTCTAGTCATCCTGGTCACTTCACTATTCAAAGCTGAGACAACTTCTGAAAGCCTCTTCCGGAAGTTGATCTCTCGGTTTGATCTCTTTAGTTCATCTCTTGACTGTATTGGAAAGCGAAGAGACGTTCACCTGAAGTTCGATTGAATCGTTAAACGAGTCCCTGATCCCTATAAACGTTCACATACCCTCTTCTTATCCTCACATCATGCTTTGTCATCTCTCTTGTGACATCACCCATGAATTCAAGCCCAGGAGCAGCCTGAAGAACTTTTGGCCATCTCTATGGTCCTCCCCTATAGATTGTCTGAAAAGCCTTTGAGACCCCAGAAGACTATTTTGAGGTGAGAGGTTCAGCAACCTTAAATCTACATGCAACATCAACAACTGTCAATGCATACGTACTTCAGCTTAATCAACTGCATTTGGAGAATGAACATCAAAAGTTGGTCCTGGGATATGTGTGGGGAAAAACAAATAAATCTGCCTGATGGCTTCCTTCATCAGCCAAAGCTTTGCATCATCTTCAGGTACTTCGGCTTTCTGAGCCAACTTCTTAAAAGCAGACAACCCTTTCCAAAAGCCGTTCCAAAAGCCGTCAGGGCTATAGTAGACTCTTGAGAACTTTTCTTTCCATTTTGAACCAATTCACAAAAAAAAAACTAACAGCTAATCCCAAAGTCGAGGTACCAGCAACAACGTAGATCATTTCACCTTGCTTTTGTTGAACACTTCGCTTGTAGTAATCGGAAAGCTGTGGCTCTCTGAGATCAAGATCTTGATAATGCACCCTCTTGTAAAGCTTCAAAGCATAATCTGTTCCCACCAAATTCTCTTTTTCCTGCTTCTTGATTTGGCCATTTGATAATCCAATCGAGGGGCTTTGTTCGATTTTCTTGATTCATAGGCCGCTTGATACTTCTCCACCGTGGGATCACGTCTCTTCTTCTCTTCTTCAACACTATTCTGGTCTCCACTCAAATAATCTGCGAGATAGCTTCCATCAACAAAGGCGGTCGCATTGATGAGCGCTCCTCCAACAACTATTGCTATGCTTGTCATTTTATTTATACTCCTCATTAATTTCGCCAACAATTATTCATCATGAAACTTTGGATTGAGTTCTTCTTCTATATCACTAGGATAGAATATGAATTTAGTCTCAATGATTGTGCAGACTGCTGCGAACTTATTTGCATTCATTGTAAATCGACTAAGATTAAGATAGTAAGATCTTTTGTTCCTCAAGATATCTTTTTGTTGCGATTGATGCAGCGATCACGAACTTGACTCAGGATCATAACTCCTCGTTTTCTTGATAACTTTCTTTGCATCCCATCTGATTCCAGCAGCCAATCCAGTCAATGTACCTGAATTGGCCAATGTTTTCACATGCTTATTATCAGACATTTTATTTTGGTAAACAAAAAACTTCAATTCATTGCCTTTACCCTTACAGGAATTTGTGTTTGTTTTGTTTGAGCCTGGGGTTTTGGTTGCGGTTTATTAACGAGAGCCATCAACTCTTCTTTTATAGTACAGTCCAGCTAGTGAGAGAACCATACTTACTACTGAAAGAATTTGAGTGAGTGAGAATGATGATGATGGTTCGGTATCTGGTTCGAGTTCTGAATATACTGCTTCGAATCGCTTTAAACCTCCTTCCTCCTTCCTTTCATCTCTAACTCTTCTGTTGTGTTCAGCAAGTTTTTTCGACACGCCCTAGGTCTTCATTTGGTTTCGACTTATTTTCATCAATTGAGAGTTTATCTGTAGAGTTTTGGTCTCAATCCAACAAACTCTTCGATTACTTCTTCACCAGCTTCATCTATCATCATTCCCACGACCCTATTGTTGCGACCAGTTGGGATCCCTGATAAGTGACCTTAAGTGTAATTACTTGCGTCGAACTTAGAAGTCTTCAGTTCCAATCTCATGAGCAAGACTGTCAGTGAATAAATTCTTTGCTTGATCACCATAGTTTTTCCGAAAACAGAATTGTTCATAAACTAGAAAAACTCTTTCTCGAATTTATTCTTTGCATTGGTGCGAAGGTTTGTGTTTAGCTCGGTGTATTTCTTCGGCCAAGGCTCTTCTTTGAAGCTCATCCCCCTATGAACCTTTTTGATCTTGAAGCTAAGGTCAAAACATTGTTTGCGGTTTTTATGATGAATGACATACTTCTCCTTATCATTCAGATTAAGAATCAGCTTCTCTAATTTTTTGATCATAAGCCTCTGAGGAGCAAGTGGATAGTTCTTACGCAAGTCATGAAGTAAGGAATATTCCTCCATTTGTCAAAGTCAGTCTCTCGAAACCTCTAACAGGAAGAGGCTTACACATTTCCTATCCATGAAAATTGTTTTCATCACGAGAAGTGATGTATTTCGTTGACTTTGTCGCATCATAAGCTTTACCCATATACTTGTTGTTCCCCCGTCCAAAACGATTTGAGATCATTGACATTCCTCCACCAATCCCTCCTTCAATGATCAGCAGCATGTCTAGATCTCTCAATAGTTC